GTAGCAGGTGGTTCCTCAGGCTTCCTTGCCTAAACTGAAGTTCAGTCCGGATAAGACAGAGAGGTTCTATCTAGTAGCAGGTGGTTCCCCAGGCTTGCTTGCCTGAACTGAAGTTTAGTCCGGATAAGACAGAGAGGTTCTATCTAGTAGCAGGTGGTTCCCCAGGCTTCCTTGCCTGAACTGAAGTTCAATCCAGATAAGACAGAGAGGTTCTAGTCCAGGGGTCAGCAAACATTTTCAGCAGGGGGCCGGTCCACTGTCCCTCAGAGCTTGTGGGGGGCCGGACTATATTTTTTTGGGGGGGAATGAACAAATTCCTATGCCCCACAAATAACCCAGAGATGCATTTTAAACAAAAGCACACATTCTACTCATGTAAAAACACCATGCAGGCCCCACAAATAACCCAGAGGTGCATTTTCAACAACAACAACTCACATCAGACTTCTTAAATCTGGCCTTGAGACTCTTCATCTCAGGTGCGCTCTTGATTTCTGAAACAGACAGATTAAGAGATCTTAAACATGTAGGGTATTTCTTCAGAAATAAGTCCAAGGGTCTTCGAGTTAAGCATGCCACCTTTGGGGCAGAAATAACCTGGCCCACGTCCTCTGCAAACACCCTGGCTGGATTGCTGGGCTGCTCTTGGAGACAACCCAAAACCTCCATCTGCCCCCAAAGGCTTTCTGGCAGGGTTCCATTAAAATCCCATATTTTGATACAGCTGAGATTTTATGGGCAGGGTATAAATAATAACCTTATTATTATCATTGGGCCCTCAATAACTGGTATTAAAAGAGTCAGAAGAGACCCTCTCGGCTGCTTCGGCTGCCCTCAGAAGCTCAGGGGAGAGGACGGGGCCTTCTCTGTGGCAGCTCCAGAGGGGACACCACTAAGAAGGACCCGCCTGCCGATCGTAGGATCTGAGATGGATGCTCTTGGAGGTATTTGGGTCCAAAGCTGTTTAGGGCTTTTATATGCTAGGGGACTCCGCTGCAAATAAAACGTTTAAAATTATCATCATCATTATTATTATTATTATTATTATTATTATTATTATTAATGTGTTGTAAAAGTGCAATATACAAAGGCAGCACTAGATGGCGATGTTGATCTATGCAAAATTCAACGTCTTTTTCAAAACTTTCCCCCCCAGAAAAGCAAGTTTTTTAAATATACGGCTGACTAATTGTCAGGATTGTGATCTCAGCTCCGAGGCCTTTCGTGTTTCGCACCCAGGGCCCAGAAGCAGGCAGTTGCTTGGAGGATCCATCCCACTTGGGACGCGAAACCAGGACTCGGTGGATACGGCCATCCCGGCCTGTTCCCCATCCCCGTGTGGCCTAATTAGAGGGCGTCTTTGCACCCCGCTGGGGGACAGAGACAAACTCTGCACTGCTTTGCAAGCTGATTGGTTTATCCAGGGGAACTCAGCTCCACATGGGGTAACGCAACAGCCAACAGGGGGCTGGAAATTCCCTGTAGCTTCTGAGAGTAAGCCAAGCTCTAAAAAGAATCTTGCAGAGCTGGAAATGCAACCGAAGCAATTGAGCGTATGCAACAACTCCTGTTAGCAAAGGTCACAACATGAACATTGGGTAGCTCAGCTGGTAGAGGACAAGATGCTTCATCCGAGGGTCGTGGGTTCAAGTCCTGTGTGGGGCAAAAGATTCCTTTCCATCCCTTTCAACGTTTCTCCCCTGAAAATAGGGACATCCTCTTCCATCCCCTCCAACGTTTCTCCCCTGAAAAGAGGGACGTCCTATTCCATCCCCTCCAACGTTTCTCCCGTGAAAATAGGGACGTCCTATTCCATCCCCTCCAACGTTTCTCCCCTGAAAATAGGGACGTCCTCTTCCATCCCCTCCAACGTTTCTCCCCTGAAAAGAGGGACGTCCTATTCCATCCCCTCCAACGTTTCTCCCGTGAAAATAGGGACGTCCTATTCCATCCCCTCCAACGTTTCTCCCCTGAAAAGAGGGACATCCTATTCCATCCCCTCCAACATTTCTCCCCTGAAAATAGGGACGTCCTATTCCATCCCCTCCAACGTTTCTCCCCCGAAAATAGGGACGTCCTATTCCATCCCCTCCAACGTTTCTCCCGTGTAAATAGGGGCGTCCTATTCCTGAAGCTGGACCATTCAGGGCTGTCCAAAGGAAAAGGCGTCTTTGGGTAAACCATGGAACTCATTGCCACAAGACGCAACCGTGGCCAACGGCTTCAAATTCCCAGAGAAGGAAAAGGCTGTCTTCGATTTTATGTTTCCCCCTCCGCTGTTGGGTGGCAGAAAATGCTTCTGGGTACCAGTTGCTGGAGGAGAGAGTTGGGTGCGAATTTCCCCCTAAAGGCGGAACTCTGCACAGAGAGGATGCTGAGATAGATGGCTCTTTGGCCTGATCCCTCTCCAGAATCCCTTTTTCCTCTCCCATTTCCTTTTGCAAAACTTACGGTAGGTGGTCTCCTGGTGGGGCGGCCCTTTGCCTCAGTTTCCCCCTTCGTACGATGACTTTGCAAGCGCCTTGTGCTCCTTCCACGAAGGCGAGAGACAGGGGGAAAGGGAGGAAAACAAGACCAGAGGGATCTCCTTACGGCAGCCTGGCTGAAAAGGAGTTTCGACATATCAGGGTCCCTTTTCGCAGCAGCTGGATGCCGTCCCCACCAATGAGCGCCGGATCCCGGGGAACGGCCTCTCCTGCCAGCGGAATTGAGTTACCACCTGTAACAGGTAAGGTTACCATCCCAGCCTAAGCAGGAGCTTAGGAGCAGCCTCGTCGCTCCGTTAAAAAGGAATTAAGAGGGGGTCGGGAAGGGAAAACAATTAGGGTTTTTAAAAGGCAGGGTTGTCAGCTTTCAGGTAACACAGGGTTCTGAGACATGAAGGTATTTGAACATCTTTTTTTTTTGTAACAACATTTTATTAATTTTCCAAACACAAATATAAATAAAACAATGCAAATTGACATCCCTCTAGTCCCTTCCATGGTTCTATTATTTATTGACATACTGCACGTCCATTATTAAATTTAAAACCTATTTTTAAAAACTATTTAAAATGTGATTTTATTAAGCTGTGTTATTTTTGCCGTTGCTAGCCACTCTGAGCCCGCCTCCGGCTAGGGAGGGCAGGATATAAATAAAATTTTATTATCATTATTATCCATCCATAACAAAATTACAAGCAATCTTAAAACCCTGCGAATGTATTGACCTGTGTACAATGCTTCTGTGTATATATGCAATTGACATCTTCCATTGCATCTTTGCTGCCTGTTATTTAATTCTGATTCATGTTTACGGCGACTAATTCCGCTTTTTAATTGCGGGGATTATAACGACGGAGCAATTAATAACACTACATAATATGATTTAGCAATCAATGACATGCATCATGCTGTTGATTCAAAAACAAAAGTCATCCAGGAGGCGTGTAAAACAGAAGCGAACATATTGCAGAATTTAAAAAAAAACCCACTCAAAATATATCTCACAACGTAACAGAATAAATAGCATTTGGACAGCTCTGCAAGAAACAAACGGTGCAGCTACGATGCCGCCCGCTAGATGGCGCCGGCGCTAAACCAGGAAGCGGCTCCATCTGCCAGGAACCAAGATGGCGCCGCCGGCCTCCTCCTCCCGAAACGAGCATGGAGACGACGACTCGGATAAAACCGCGCGTGCGCAGAAGGAGGCCTTCTTCTGGCTCCTTTTCGGCCACGCCCCTTCCGGCGCCGTCGTTACCGGAAGCTCCTCAACAAGCGGCGGCGAAACTTTATTGGCAGAGGGGAAGGGGGAAGAGTCGGGATGTCGGCGAACTACGCGGCGGGGCTGTCGCCGTACTCGGACAAGGGCAAGTGCGGCCTCCCGGAGGTGAGCGGAGGGGACGGGGTGGGTGGGGAAGGGTTGCCATGGATACCGAGACTCCCCCCTCCCTCCCCCATTGGACTCTGCGCGGGGGGGGAGGGGCGAGGAGGGCGCCTGAGGGGAAAAGGCCCGGGAAGGACCCGGATGTGGAGGCCGAGGGGGAAAGACCCGGATGTGGAGGCCGAGGGGGAAAGACCCGGATGTGGAGGATGGAACGCGAAGGACCCGGATGTTGGGGATTCCCTCCCCCTCCCGCCTCCTGGTTTTAATGTTATGTTTCCTTCGCTCAGCTCACAGTTTTTATTATTTTATTATTTTATTTATTTATTTATATTTTATTATTTTATTTATTTATTTATTTATTTTTATTATTTTTATTTTATTTATTTTATTTTTTATTTATTTATTTTATTTATTTATTTGTTTTATTATTTATTTTATTTATATTTATTAATTTATTCATTTATATTTCCAGTCTGTTTTGCTTTACTGTGTTTCATTTCATAAGTCATTCATTCATTCATTCATTCATTTCATTCATTCTTTTTGTTTTTAATTTCCATGTATTTTATTTTTAAAATACATTCGTTCGTTCCTTTGTTTCCTTTCGTTCTTTTTGTTTTTACTCCCGTTTGTTTCGTTTCATTTTTATTTCCGTTTGTTTTATTTTTATTAAATTCACTCGTTTCGTTCCATTTATCCTTTTTTTTTTTTTGTTTCCATTTATTTATTTATTTATTTTTGGATACATTCAGAAAAGAACAGCATGGAACAGCTTATTGAGGAAAAATACATTTTAGTAAAGATACATTGTTAAAGTCAATGAATAAGATACAGCAAAAATGATACGTTTAGGTACAGCAGTAAATGATACATTCTCCAAGGCACAGTTTACATTATTGTAGGGTATTAAGGCAGAATACTATATATCTGATATTGGTAGAGTCATTTTCCTTTATTCCCCTCTCTGACCCTGACTTGCCGATCAGAAGGTTGGCGGTTTGAATCCCTGCAATGATGGGGTGAGCTCCCGTTGCTTGGTCCCTGCTCCTGCCCACCTAGCAGTATGAAAGCGCCTCAAAGTGCAAGTAGATCAATAGGTACCACTCCGTCGGGAAGGTAAAGGGCGTTTCCGTGCGCTGCTCTGGTTCGCCAGAAGCGGCTTAGTCCTGCTGGCCACATGACCCGGAAGCTGTACGCCGGCTCCCTCGGCCAATAAAGCGAGATGAGTGCCGCAACCCCAGAGTCGGCCATGACTGGACCTAATGGTCAGGGGTCCCTTTAGCTGCCATGGGCTGGTATCACCACCTGGCACTCCCGAATATTATCAGTGGTGCCCGCAGACGAATGCCTCACAGGACGAAACTCGCTAGAGTAAGGGTCGTTTTTGAGTCGTTCCAGCAAGACACCCTATGGGCTGCTTCGCAAGACGAAATGTTTGCGAGTTCTTGAGTTTTTTTCCCAACGGCGCAATAGCGTGCTTCGAAATACAGTAGTCTATTTAACAGTTAAAAGCTTCCTCTAACAAGGGCTGCCTTCCGATGTCTTTCCAAATGTCTGTAGTTAATTATTTCCTTGACATCTGGTGGGAGGGGCATTCCACAGGACGGGTGCCACCACCGAGAAGGCCCTCTGCCTGGTTCCCTGCAACCTCACTTCTCGCAGGGAGGAACCGCCAGAAGGCCCTCAGGAGATGGACCCCGGTGTCCGGGGTGGAGACGCTCCTTCAGGTCTACTGGGCCATTTAGGCTTTCAAGGTCAGCACCAACACTTTGAATTGTGCTTGGAAATGTCCTGGGAGCCAATGTAGGTCTTTCAGGACCAGTGTTACATGGTCTCCACTCCCAGTCCCCAGTCTGGCTGCCGCATTCTGGATTAGTTGCATGTTTCCGGGTCACCTTCAAAGGGAGCCCCACGTAGAGTCCCTGATGGGGAAAAGGCAGGTTATATAAATAAACAGAGGAGAATAACTGCAACTTTCCCAGCTGACCTATCCTGCGCTTCCTCTGTTTATCTCTCTTCCCCCTGCCAAATCTCCCCTTCAGTTTTTTGACCCTCCGGACGAGCTGGACAAGAAAGTCGCCCAGCTGGCCCTCTTGATCCGGGATGCTTCCAACGTGGTTTTCCACACCGGGGCTGGCATCAGCACGTCTTCGGGAATCCCAGACTTCAGGTGAGCGGAGTGACAGGTATTTGGGACCTGGGAACCCCCTACACACCGCTCCAAGGCCGCTGATTTGTTATGGGTCACCCAGAAAGATGCTGGGTAGCACCCCTTCTGTCCGGTAAGGATTTGCCCCTCTGTTCCCTGCAGAGGCCCCAATGGTGTCTGGACCATGGAGGAGCGGGGTCTGTCCCCGAAGTTCGACACCACTTTTGAGAACGCGCGGCCGTCCACGACCCACATGGCCCTCTTGGAGCTGCAGAGAGCCGGCGTCCTGCGGTTCCTGGTCAGCCAGAACGTGGACGGTCTCCACGTACGCTCGGGATTCCCCAGGTAAGGGGACGCTTCCCGTGACAGTGTGAAGAAAACGCTTTCGTTAAGCTCTGGGACAGCTCAGGGGGCAGAGCGTGAGACTGCCGATCTCTGGGTCGCGGGTCCAAGCTCTCTGTCATGCACCCAGCTCCACGATTCTGCGATTCCATGCACATTTAAAAAAGCAAAGCCTCTGCTCCGATCTCGGATCCTTTTACAGCATCAAGCTGTCGTTCCGCCTGTCAAAGTTCCCCCTCTCTTTTCTCCTCCTCTTCCGCAGGGACAAGTTGGCGGAGTTGCATGGGAACATGTTTGTGGAGGAATGCATGAAATGTGGAAAGTAGGTACCCTCTCCGGCGATGTGGGTGCCTTGGCTTCCTGTGGGTGGTGGCGGCAGCGGCAGGGAGATTCCTCCGCCTGGTTCCAGCTCCCTCCGTTGCAAAATTAAATGCAAGGATTTGGCACAGCAGGGAAAGGGGAAATCAAAATGACTGAGGTCGGGTGGGGGGGGGAGGCGGCAATATTTGGGGCCTTAATGCAGCTGTGGGGAACCTTTTTGCTGCTGCTCAAGGTGCTGCTGAATCACAAGTCCCACCATCCCCAGCCGTCAATCGTGCTTCCATTCAGGGGGTCTGGTGGGAGTTGTAGTTTGGCGGTGCCTGGAAGGCCGCATCTGGTAGCCAAAAGGCAGCTGTCGCCAGCCCAGATGTTTTGGGAACTGGTAGGACAGTTGCCGAGGGACGCGGGTGGCGCTGTGGGTTAAACCACAGAGCGTAGGACTTGCCAATCAGAAGGTCGGCGGTTCGAATCCCCGCAATGACGGGGTGAGCTCCTGTTGCTCGGCCCCTGGTCTTGCCCACCTAGCAGTTCAAAAGCACACCAGTGCAAGTAGATAAATAGGTACCACTCTGGTGGGAAGGGAAATGGTGTTTCCGTGCGCTGCTCTGGTTCGCCAGAAGCGGCTTAGTCCTGCTGGCCACATCACCCGGAAGCTGTACGCCGGCTCCCTCGGCCAGTAAAGCGAGATGAGCGCCACAACCCCAGAATCGTCCGCAACTGGAACTAATGGTCAGGGGTCCCTTTACCTTTTTAGGACAGTTTCCATCCCAAACAGCTGGCCTGGGAAGGTGGGTGGGTGGGTCAGGGAGGAAAACCCCCAAACTGGAATGGACCTTTGCTGCAAGGTCTGAATCGCAGGGGCAAGCGGTGGATCGAAGAGGGCAGGGATTCCTCTCCTCATGGCATGACTCTGCTCCCCGCTTGCTCCCAGGAAACCTCCACTCCTCCCTCTGTGTGTTTGTCTTTAAGGCAGTATGTGAGGGACGCCGTGGTGGGCACCATGGGCCTGAAGCCCACCGGCCGGCTCTGCGACGTCTCCAAGCGCAGAGGCCTTCGGTCCTGCAGGTACGTGGCGGGGGAAATTTAGGGCCAGTAATTGTGTGTCATATTTTAATAGCTGCCGCACAAAATTTTGACCACCTTGCGAGTTGTACCATGGGGTGGTTCTCTAGCAGCAAGAAACTCTTCAGAACTTGCCGTGCATGTCTGGGGTATCGCACTTAACCGAATAAAATTAAGCATTTCAAATGAAACCCACAAGGGTGTGTTTCTTGTCTTCGTTTATCTGTCTAGACGTGCTTCTCCAAAATGGGCACGGAAGGGTGTGAAAGCACACCTAAAGATAAACATGGCCTTCAAAGTGTACCCATTCTCCTTTCCATCTATTTTCTTTCATTCTGCAAAACATGCCAAATCTCTGCCGCCCGCCTGCACATCAGTTGCATCCACTCTGCTCCCTTTTTTATTTTTGGGGTTCCAAGTCCCCCCCCCCAATCCCACAATGCCTGGGCTCCTACATGCAGCTGCTGCTCCCAAGCGCCCAATCTTTTCCTTTTCCTCAAAAGAGGGAAGCTAATGGACACCATCTTGGACTGGGAAGATTCCCTGCCTGACCGGGACCTCCATCTGGCAAGTGAAGCGTGCAGGTAAGGGTCTTCCCCTTGAAGGTGTTTTTGGGTCAGGTCGACGGCCTCATCTAGCTCTCATCCTCCTGGAGGGTCAAGGAAGAATTCTAGCATTAGACAACTGTTTCTTCCTGTAGGAGGTTGCCTTCTAGATTCCCTACGGTTGGCCAGCTTTAGCAAACGGTGACAGGCATCTTACTTGTGGCTTAGAAAATGCTTATAATAATAATAATTTATCATTTATAGCCCGCCCATCTGGCTGAGTTTCCCCAGCCACTCTGGGCGGCTTCCAATCAAGTGTTAAAAACGATACTTGCAGCTTCCCCTGCCCTTCCAGGTAAGGAATGCTAGCTGGCATTGGCTTCCTCTTTTGTTTTATTTTGTCCCCTGCAGAAGCGCCGATCTGTCCATCACTCTGGGGACGTCCCTGCAAATCAAGCCCAGCGGAGACCTTCCTTTGTTGACCAAGAAGAAGGGAGGGAAACTGGTGATTGTGAATCTGCAGCCAACAAAGCACGTGAGTTCAATTCGGGCCTCACCAGCAGCTCAGGATCCGCAGCCAGTCTTAGAAACTCAAATAGTTTGCCAAACTCAAATAGGTGCCAAATGTCTCCTTAAACCAACGTTGTGGTCGGCGAAACAGAATGTCTAGTTGTCACGATTTAAATCTCGAATTTGGTTGTTGTTTTGTTGTTGTTGTTTAGTCGTTTAGTCGTGTCCAACTCTTCGTGACCCCATGGACCAGAGCATGCCAGGCACCTCTGTTCTCCACTGCCTCCCGCAGTTTGGTCAAACTCATGCTGGTAACCTCGAAAACACTATCCAACCATCTCGTCCTCTGTCGCCCCCTTCTCCTTGCGCCCTCCATCTTTCCCAGCATCAGTGTCTTTTCCAGGGAGTCTTCTCTTCTCATGAGGTGGCCAAAGTACTGGAGCCTCAGCTTCAGGATCTGTCCTTCCAGTGAACACTCAGGGCTGATTTCCTTAAGAATGGATGCGTTTGATCTTCTTGCAGTCCATGGGACTCTCAAGAGTCTCCTCCAGCACCAGAATTCAAAAGCATCAATTCTTCGGCGATCAGCCTTCTTTATGGTCCAGCTCTCACTTCCATACAACACTAATTTGGTTATCCCGATTTAAATCACTAGTCAGTAAGACTTGATTTAAATCTTCTTCTTTTTTACAGAAAGACTCAGCCTTGCTGGTATCGTCTTAATATTTACAACCAGAGGAAGGTTTCAGTTTTTTGGAATAATAGATTTTCAGAGTAGTTTTTACAGTTATATCATAAAATAACTGATTTGGTTATACTGTTAGAAATACATAGACCGGTAATTATGCAGTTATGGTGAGGTGTAATAAGTTAACTGTTTATATTTGGATAACTTTTCTGCCGTACTTTATTGGAAGGAGAAAAATAACCATTTCCTTAATAGCAACTTAAACAATTAAGAATGACGCTATAGCATATGTATCCATGTTTGTTTCCTGATGCGGTTAAACAATTTTCAAAAAAATAAAAACTTAGACTGAGTTTAGGCACACATGGGAAACTTAAAACAAATCCTTATTTCCTGACAAATAGCCTTTGGATTATAATGTAACTTAAATAGAAAATCTTTAGAAAGATTCCTCCCTCCCCAATAAAGCATTTTATTTTAAAAATCTGATTTAAATCAAATCTGATTTAAATTTTAAAATATATCATTTAAATGGAAAAAAATCCAATTTAAATGGAAAAAAACCATTTTTGAATTTATTTATAAAAAAATACCCGTTGATTTTCATCCACCCTGCTTCGTAGGCCGTCTTGGCGCTGCCAACCCTCGTTCCCCACCTCTCTCCCTTTCTCTCCCCTTCAGGACAAGCACGCTGACCTGCGGATCCACGGCTACGTGGACGACGTCATGGCGAAACTCATGAAACACCTCGGCTTGGAGATCCCCGAGTGGACGAGGCCCCTGGTGGTGGAGAAGGCGGAGCTCGCCGAGTCCAAAGCGTTCGCCAAGCCCAGCATCGACTTTAAGTTCCTGACCAAGGCGGAGCCCCTGGGGGGAAACCCAGAGGATGGCGCCTCTCCGAAACAGGAGCCCTGTGCGACTCCGGACAGCGACCGCGTCGTAGCCAAGCGTTTGAAATTGGAGCCTCTGCCCACCTGATGGATCCTGCGCACGTTCATCCGGGTCGTCTGTCTTAGAAACATTTTTTTTACTTGTATATAGGACTTTTCAAAAGACCATCCCTCCTTATTTATGTGGGGGGCTTTTTCCCACCACTGTGGGAAAGTTTGTCTCCTTTTCACAAGTCTACTTGCACGCTCCAGGCACGCTCCGTCCCCACGAGATCGCTTCCAAGACCTCATTTGTGTACCTAACGAGGCAGCCACAATTTCCCACCCTGGGGTCTTTCCCCCGCACATTCTCCACCCTCCTTCCCGCTCCGGCGGAGAAGTTTCATCCGCATACGGACAAAAAAACGTTTATTGGGGGAAACTCATACTAAAAGGCTGGTGGGTTTTCACGAAGTTAAAAATAAACAAATCACCAAATTCCTGGAGAATGGAATTTAAGTTCAGGGGAAGTGAGCAAACCAAAAGTGGTAAATTTGCCCATCTCTAATCCAAAATAAGCACTATAATAGGAGTGGAAGAATGAGTGAAATTATAAATGATGATTTCCCAGAAGCCATTTTCCTCGAGTTACTGGGTCTGCTACATGAATTTTTGGTCATGTCAATGGTTCTTTGAAGCCTTAACCCAAGGTATGTTATTATTATTATTATTTATTATACGGTGGCACTCATCTGACCGGGTTGACCCAGCCACTCTGGGTGCTGGGTGCTCAGAATAAAGTTTCCCTGCGTTCTCTTGGCGAGCAAACCACTTTGGGATTCTTACTTATTACGATTCTTCCGAAACCGCCTCTCTGCCCAACAAACCTGGCCCAGGTGTGGTTGTGCAAACATGTTTGCCCATCCTGCTTGGGAAGTGAGCTCAGGGAGCAAACGAGCTCGGCACCGTGGGTCGTCATTAAGTCTCCCCTCTGCAATTATAGAAGCAGCAATTAATTTGCCGAACGATGCCCAAAGGGAGCAAAGGACAGGACCAGTTTTGTTTCGCTCTCTGCAGCTGCTGTTGTTGCCCCTGGAGTCTCAGACCTTTGCTCCTCCAAAACGCTTCCTTTCCCTGGGTGCAGCCACAAATAGGGAGGGGGGCACTGAATTATTTGTTGTTGTTGTTTAGTGGTGTCCGCCTCTTCGTGACCCCCTGGACCAGAGCACGCCAGGCACTTCTGTCTTCCACTGCCTCCCACAGTTTGGTCAGGCTCATGTTTGTAGCTTCGAGAACACTGACCAGCCATCTCGTCCTCTGTCGTCCCCTTCTCCTTCTGCCCTCCATCTTTCCCAGCATCAGGGTCTTTTCCAGGGAGTCTTCTCTTCTCATGAGGTGGCCAAAGTCTTGGAGCCTCAGCTTCAGGATCTGTCCTTCCAGTGAGCACTCAGGGCTGATCTCCTTCCGAATGGAGACGTTGGATCTTCTTGCAGTCCATGGGACTGAACTATTGGCTTTGCCTAAACTCAAATCCCCCCCGGTCTAATATCCCTAGCGCTGCAAGATCCCAAAAGCGCCTGGACTAAAATGGTTTATCAAAAAATTCACTCTGGTGGTTTATCACCACAACAGCTACTCGCTTTGGGTTTTGGTAAAGCAAGCAGTCTAATTTGTCGGCGCCTAAATGATAATTGAGCGTCAGAACAACTTGGCCACAAGAAGGAGATTTTGCCCATGGTGTGACTATTTTCCACCTTCCCATTTTGACACTCTGGCACCCTATCTACAAAACCTAGCCATTCTAAAATATAGACGCGCTTTTACCCTCGGAAGATTGAATGTCTTGCCCTTGGCTGGACTTGAGGGACCAGGTTTCTTCGCTTTCTGAAAGTCTAGAAAGCATTTGTTGTATATTATTTTTTGCTCCGTCATTAAAAACTCTGAAACAGCAGTGATAATCAGTGGTTGTTTTATTGTATGTGTTATATATAAAACATCTCGCTTTCAGGCCGAGGGAGCCGGCGTTTGTCCACAGACAGACATGGTTCTTTTGTTTCCAACTTTTCTTTCCAACTTCCACTACAGTGGTACCTCGGGTTACATACGCTTCAGGTTACAGACTCTGCTAACCCAGAAATTGTACCTCAGGTTAAGAACTTTGCTTCAGGATGAGAACAGAAATCGTGCTTCAGCGGCGCGGTGGCAGCTGGAGGCCCCGTTAGCTAAAGTGGTGCTTTAGGTTAAGAACAGTTTCAGGTTAAGAACGGACCTCCGGAACGAATTAAGTACTTAACCCGAGGTACCACTGTACTTCTGTCTGTGGGGGGGGGGATTTTGGTGTTCAGGTCTTTCCCTGACGATGCAGCCTTCCTTTTTTGGGGGGGGGGTGTCTTTTCCCTAGCCAGAGCTGCAGGAGGGCAGAGGGGGGGTGGGGGTGTCTCTGTGCCGATTCAGCCCCCCTTGCAGGAAGGGAGACCCCAAGAGGGAGACCCCACCCCATAATGGGGGTGTCTTTTTTGTGGGGGGGCGTTAAAGGCCCCACTCCTCTGTGTTTGGGGGGGTGGCCCCCTCCCCCCGGACTTACGTGGACGGGGAACTTCTCCGAGGCGGGGGGCGCCGCTCCCCCCATCCTGGGCCCGCCGCTGCTCCCCCGGCCGCCATGTTGGCGCGCCTCCCCGCGACCGCGCGCACGCTCGCTCTCGGGAGCCAGGCCGCGCGCTTGCGTCACCACGCAGCGGCAAGTCGCGAAACGGCCTCAGCAGCCAGGCTTGGGAAGGAAAGGCGCGGAAAGGAAAGCAGGCGGAACCTTTCTGGCGAGGGGAGAGGGAGGCGGCCGGAAGGGAAAAGGGACCGGACCAAAACAGAAATAGACCGGATGGGAGGGAGGAGGGGGAACCGGAAGGAGGGGGATAGCGGAGAGGGAGAGGGCTAGAGCGGCCCGGGCAGAGAGGAGCAGTAGAGAGGGGAGCGGGGAGAGAGGTCGAGGCTCCCACTTCCCTTAATTCTACCTCTTAGACCCCTCTACCCTTTTCATAGCTCTGTGGTCTCATAGGCTATAGAGCGATGAAAAGTGTAGAGGGGTCTCAGAGGTAGAATTGAGGGAAGTGGGAGCCACAGAGCTATGAAAAGTATAGAGGGGTCTCAGAGGTAGAATTGAGGGACGTGGGAGCCATAGATCAATGAAAAGTGTAGAGGGGTCTAAGAGGTAGAATTGAGGGACGTGGGAGCCATAGATCAATGAAAAGTGTAGAGGGGTCTCAGAGGTAGAATTGGAGGGAAGTGGGAGCCATAGAGCTATGAAAAGTGTAGAGGGGTCTAAGAGGTAGAATTGAGGGACGTGGGAGCCATAGAGCTATGAAAAGTGTAGAGGGGTCTAAGAGGTAGAATTGAGGGACGTGGGAGCCACAGAGCTATGAAAAGTATAGAGGGGTCTCAGAGGTAGAATTGGAGGAAGTGGGGGCAATAGAGCTATGAAAAGGATAGAGGGGTCTCAGAGGTAGAATTGGGGGAAGTGGGAGCCACAGAGCTATGAAAAGTGTAGAGGGGTCTCAGAGGTAGAATTGGGGGAAGTGGGGGGCCATAGAGCTAGGAAAAGGGTAGAGGGGTCTCAGAGGTAGGATCATAGAGGGGCCACAGAGCTATGAAAAGTGTAGAGGGGTCTCAGAGGTAGAATTGGGGGAAGTGGGGGCCACAGAGCTAGGAAAAGGGTAGAGGGGACTCAGAGGTAGGAACGTAGAGGGGCCACAGAGCTATGAAAAGTGTAGAGGGGTCTCAGAGGTAGAATTGGGGGAAGTGGGGGCCACAGAGCTATGAAAAGGATAGAGGGGTCTCAGAGGTAGGATCATAGAGGGGCCACAGAGCGATGAAAAGTGTAGAGGGGTCTCAGAGGTAGACTAGGGGGTAGAGGGGGCCACAGAGCTAGGAAAAGGGTAGAGGGGTCTCAGAGGTAGGAAAGGGGCCACAGAGCTATGAAAAGGGTAGAGGGGTCTCAGAGGTAGAATGGGGGTAGAGGGGCCTCAGAGCTAGGAAAAGTGTAGAGGTGTCACAGGGGTAGACTAGGGTAGAGGAGCCACAGAGCTATGAAAAGGGTAGAGCGGTCTCAGAGGTAGAAAAGGAGTAGAGGGGCCTCAGAGCTATGAAAAGGGTAGAGGGGTCCTAGGTTGTAGATGAGCCACAGAGCTATGAAAATTATAGAGGGGCCTGAGAGGTAGGAAAGGAGTTGAGGGGCCACAGAGCTATGAAAAGGGTAGAGGGGCCTCAGAGGTAGGAATGGGGTAGAGGGGCCTCAGAGCTAGGGAAAGGGTAGAGGGGTCTTAGGGGGTAGAGGAGCCACAGAGCTATGAAAAGGGCAGAGGGGTCTCAGGAATGGGGTAGAGGGGCCACAGAGCTATGAAGAGGGTAGAGGGGTCTCGGAGGCAGAAATGGGGCAGAGTGGCCACAGAGCTATGAAGAGGGTAGAGGGGTCTCAGAGCTAGGAAAGGGGTAGAGGGGCCATAGAGCTATGAAGAGGGTAGAGGGGTGTCAGAGGTAGGGAAATTATTTTGAGAATTATAAGAACAGAACTACCTAACTTGTTTAGAAATTTATTCATGTATGTGACTACCGCGGGAAGAATGTTACTGGCCCCAAAATGGAAAGAGGCAGAAGTCCCAACAAAGGAAGAATGGATACAATAACGTATGGAATACCCAGAAATGGCGAAACGTACCGGAGGAATAAGAAGAATAAGTTAACAAACTTTTTTTAAAAGAATGGAAATTGTTTATTGAATATTTACAGATAAATTGTAAACAGATAAGAACATTGGCAGGATTATTGTAATAACCTGCAGAGTATATATTTAAGGTAGATGAGTAAACGAGCAAATTAAGTTAATTTGGAAATGCAGAAGATATTAAAAATAAATTTAAGGAACCGCAGAAAGAGGGGGAAGGAAGTCAACCCAGTGAGGGTTTGCCAAGCATGCCTTCCTCTTAGCACATTTCTCCCTTGCGTCCTGAGTTCAAGTGTCTCCAAAGCCCAGGACACCTTTGGTAAAGGCTGTTCTCCAGCTGGAGCGCTCGCAGGCCAGTGTTTCCCAGTTGTCGGTGTTTATACTACATTTTTAAAGATTTGCCTTGAGAGAGTCTTTGAACCTATTTTGTTGACCACCAGCATTACACTTTCCATTCTTAAGTTCGGAATAGAGTAGTTGCTTTGGAAGACGATCATCAGGCATCCGCACAACATGACCAGTCCAACAAAGTTGATGTTGCTTCGACACTGGAGATCTTTGCTTCTTCCAGTACACTGGTATTAGTTCACCTGTCTTCCCAGGTGATGTGTAAAATTTTGTGGATACCCCTGTGATGGAATCATTCAAGCAATTGGAGATGGCCTTTATAAGTGGTCCATGTTTCACAAGCGAACACTAAGGTTGGAAGTACAATGGCTTTGTAAGCAAGCATTTTGGTTTCCTGGGCCCAGAAATGAACCAGCGACCAGTGCAATGGGGCCAGAGTTGGTCTCCTGTGATAATCTAGCCCTGCCCCTTACCCAATCCTGCAAATCTGCGAAAGCTTGTTGTTGAGGTGGCTGTGCCCGGCCTGGGTTGCGTGGTCCCCCCGGCGTGCCAGCTGCCCGCTGGCGACATCCTCGTCCTCCTCTCCGCCGGTCCTCCGAGACGTCACTCTGCACGTGGCTCTGATGCCGCCCAGCGGGTCGTAGCGAGAGCTGGTGGACGGCGGGTGGAGGAACCTCTCCCGGATGAGGTAGCCGAGTCTTGTCGCCGCCACAAAGCCGTCCGGCGTCGGCACGATCCTGGTCACCCTCGCGTGCACAAGCTGGACGGCCAACAGGGCCCCTAGTGGTGCAAAAAAAAACATAGTGTGAAATGTCCCCTGTGCATAGGAAGTCTGCCTCATCTCAAGTTAGCTCAGTATTGCCTACCTAGGGTTTCTCGAACTCGGGTCCCTGGCCGTTTCCGGACCACAATTCCCATCACCCCACAATTCCCATTCATTTATTCTGTGAACCGCCTTGAGACCCCTGGGTATAGGTAATGGTAAAGGTAAAGGGACCCGTGACCATTAGGTCCAGTCGTGGCCAACTCTGGGGTTGCGGTGCTCATCTCGCTTTACTGGCCGAGGGAGCCGGCGTACAGCTTCAGGGTCATGTGGCCAGCAGGACTAAGCCGCTTCTGGCGAACCGAGCAGCGCACGGAAACGGCGTTTACCTTCCCTGCCTATTTATCTCCTTGCACTTTGACGTGCTTTTGAACTGCTAGTTTGGCAGGAGCAGGGACCGAGCAATGGGAGATCACTCCGTCGCGGGGATTCGAACCGCCGACCTTCTGATCGGCAAGCCCTAGGCTCTGTGGTTTAACCCACAGCGCCACCCGTGTCCCTGGTATAGGACGGTATATAAATTCAATTAATAATAATAATAATAATAATAATAATAATACAGTCATACCGCAGCTTACAGAAGCTTCAGGTTGTGTGTTTTCGCACTGAAACCCGGAAGTACTGGAATGGGTTACTTCCAGGTTTCGGCGCTCACACATGCGCAGAAACACTAAATAGCGCTTTGCACATGTGCAGACATGCCAAATCACAACCCGCGCATGCGCAGATGCGGCGCTGCGAGTTGCGGGTGTGCATCCTGCACGGATCATGTTCACAACCCGGGCGTCCACTGTATCCCCAACCACTGGTCCTGCTGGCTATCGTAGTCCAAAGATAGCTGGAGACTCAACGGGGGAAGCCACCGTCACAAGCAGTTCAAAGATGGCCGGGGGGCTCGCTCACCACACGAGACGTCCCACACCGTCACACACTGATCGAGGGAGGCCGTGAAGAGCAGCCGGTCATCCGTCGAGAAGCAGGCACAGAGCACGCCTTGCGAGAAGGAATCTTCCTGGGAACGAAGAACAGACATGGCAAAGGCGTTTTGAGAGAGAGTAGAATGTGTGCTTTTATTTCAAATGCCTCTCCGGTTTATTTGTGGGGCATAGGAATTCGTGCATTTTCTCTCTCCAAAATAAAAATATAGTCCGGCTCCCCACAAGGTCTGAGGGACAGTGGAGTGTCCGCCTGCTGAAAAAGGTTGCTGACCCCTGATTAGGCGATGGCCATTCTTGGGAAGTGAGAGCTGGCTGATCGCCGAAGAATGGATGCTTTTGAATTCTGGTGCTGGAGGAGACTCTGGAGAGTCCCATGGACTGCAAGAAGATCCAACCTCTCCATTCTTAGGGAAATCAGCCCTGAGTGCTCACTGGAAGGACAGATCCTGAAGCTGAGGCTCCAAGACTTTGGCCACCTCAGGAGAAGAGAAGACTCCCTGGAGAAGACACTGATGCTGGGAAAGATGGAGGGCGCAAGGAGAAGGGGACGGCAGAGGACGAGATGGTGGTACAGTGTTCTCGAAGAGACCAGCATGAGTCTGACCAAACTGTGGGAGGCAGTGGAATACAGAAGTGCCTGGCGTGCTCTGGTCCAGGGGGTCACGAAGAGGCGGACACGACTGAATGACTAAACAACAACAACATTCTTGGGACGGTGCAGGGCGGGATCCGGAGGGGAGACACACCTTTTGGAAAGACATCCGATGTTCCCAGCGGCACCGATCCACGTCCCAGAGGCACTGCAGAGAGTCGGCCGCCCCGCTGAGCGCCCAGGCCTCCCCGTGGCTGGTCTGCAAGCAGGTGACGCCACTGCTTCCATGGGCTTCCAGAGCGAACACCTGGCCCTGGGAGCAGTGGTAGAGGAACAGCTGCCCGCCGGTCATGCCGTAGAGCACCCGGTACCCGCCCAGCAGGGCCACGCAGGAGATGTCGGCGCCCGGGATCTGGGTGTAGAAGGAGAAGGCCGGCCGGTCGATCAGGGGCCCTGGATCCCCCCAGCCCACGTCCAAGACCTGCACCAGGTCCTCGCAAGCCACGGCCACTTGCTCCTCGCTCCGGGCCAAAGCCAGGGCGCAGACGGGCTTCCGGTTCTCTGCCGGAGGGATGCACCCGACGTCCTGCGGCGAGTCCAAGGGGAAGACCAGCACCGTCCCGGACGCCAGCCCCACAAAGGCCAGCTTCCTCTGGGGGGCCACTTCCAGGCACCGCACGGCAGCCGAGGTGTCCAGCATCTCGCGCTCCTCTCCTGCTGGGGCACAGGTGGTTGCTTTTATTTTAAAAAATATTATTTTACAGTCATACCTCGGGTTACAGACGCTTCAGGTTGCGTTTCTTTCAGGTGATGGACCGCTGAAACCTGGAAGTCCTGGAATGGGTTACTTCCGGGTTTCGATGGTCGCGCATGTACAGAAGCGCTAAATTGCGCTTTGCACATGCACAGAAGCACCGAATTGCAACCCGCATGTGTGCAGACTTGCTGCTGTGGGTTGCGAACGTGCATCCCGCACGGATCATGTTCACAAACCGAGCGTCCACTGTATTTTATCAATTTTCCAAAAACAACGAAAAAATAAAAACATCAATACATATTCAAACACAGAAAAAACAGAGTTGACTCCCCCCCCCCATTCCCTTCTCTGGTTCCTTTGTTTATCATCATACCGCATGTCCATTTTAAATTAAAATTACTTCTTGCCCAGTCATAATATCTTTACAAGTATTTTTCAAATCCTGCTAATGTATTAACCAGTGTACCTTGTTTCTGTGTATATACAACAAAGTCCTATTCTTCTTTACATTCATTGTCATCTCTTTCTCTTAATTTCAAAGTCAATTCTGCCATTTCGGCATACAGTATACCGTATTTTCCGCTCTATAAGACGCAGCAGACCACAAGATGCACCTAGTTTTTGGAGGAGGGAAACGAGAGAAAAAATATTCTGAATCTCGGAAGCCAGAACAGCAAGAGGGATCGCTGCGCAGTGAAAGCAGCAATCCCTCTTGCTGTTCTGGCTTCTGGGATAGCTGCGCAGCCTGCATTCGCTCCATAAGACGCACACACATTTCCCCTTACTTTTTAGGAGGGAAAAGTGAGTCTTATAGAGCAAAAAATACGGTATTTGTTTGTTACTGGAATGCTGGAAATACTGTGTCAAAAAAGACACTGATAAAAATCACATAACTCGCCTTCCTCCACGTCCCAAAGGACCAGCTCGCAGCTCTCGAGGGACCGGGGGAAGCAGACGTATTTTCCGCCGCCGGAGAGCCCCACGCACTTCGCGCCGGCCATGCAAGGCGGCAAGGGTTTGCGCCCGGGGTCGTCACCGGGGTCCCAGACCCGAAGGTAAGGCGCGTGGGGAGAGGCGGACACCAGCAGGGAGCCGCAGAGGGCCAGGTGAGTGGCGGGTGGTCCTCGATCCCCCCAAACGCCCCTCAGCCAGCCCTCCTGGCCCAGACGCCACACCTGGGGAGAAGAGCGGTACAGTCAAACCTCCGTTCTCGAACGGCTCCGTTTTGGAACGTTTCGGCTCCCAGAAACTCGGACGTAAATGCTCTTGAGGTTAAGAGTCTCTGGTTTACTAAAGATGAAGAAGTTAAATCAGTAACGATACACCGGGCAGGAGATTTTGGCTATAGTATACAGTTTTCATCATGGGAAAAGTTATGGAGAGAGGACTTGAAGTTTACAGCCTGCTTTTCGTTGAAAGAAAACTATATGAAAATGATGTGCTGCTACTATTTGACACCTAGTAAAATTGCGAAGTTGTACAGTGGTACCTCGGGTTAAGAACCTAATTCGTTCTGGAGGTCCGTTCTTAGCCTGAAGCACCACTTTAGCTAATGGGGCCTCCCACTGCTGCTGCCACCGCCAGAGCACGATTTCTGTTCTCATCCTGAAGCAAAGTTCTTAACCTGAGGTACTGTTTCTGGGTTAGCGGAGTCTGTAACCTGAAGCATATGTAACCCGAGGTACCACCGTATAGAAGCAGTTCAAATGTGTGCTGGAAATGTAAAAGGAAAGAGGGTATGTTTTATCATACGATACAGTGCTACCTCGGTTTTCGACCGTCTCTGTTGACGAATGTTTCAGTTTTCGAACGCCGTAACCCCGGAAGTAAACGCTTCCATTTTTGAATGTGCCTCGGAAGTCGAATGCCTTCCGCTGAATGTATATGTTATTTTTCTCAATTTCTCTATTAAATTTGCAGACCGCCCTTTGCACCTTTCGGAACTTGGATTTGGTGGGGCTTACTTTGTGGGTTCACGATTGCCACATTGCCCCCGCCTCGGCCTAGAAGGCTGGTCCTTCTGCCTCTTAAAATCATAGAATCGTATAGTTGGAAAGGGTCCGCCAGCGGTCATCTAGTCCAACCCCCTGCAATGCAGGGATCTTGGCTAAAGCATCCCTGGCATATGGCCGTCCAACCTCTGCTTAAAAACCTCCAGAGAAGGGGCGCCTTACCCAGAGGCACTCGCTCCGAGAGCTCGTGAAGACGGTGGTGTTGTCGGCAGCGATGGCAGTGGCACAGACTTCCTCATCGTGCAGCAAATCAGAGTTCAGGACTTGGTGGAAGCCTGTCGGGTCAGGCCGGAAGATTCGCACGCGGCACCCAAATCCTGGAAGGCAAGCCAGAGCTTGGTTGTTGGGAAGCAAGGCTCTGGTCATGGAGGAAGCGCCAGAAGGGACAAGAGTGCTTCTGAGCACGTGCAAAAGGCTCCTCGCAGGCAGGTGGTTCCTAACATTACCCAGTCCCTGCTCTTGCTTTGTGAGCAGCACTCAGTTATTTCCACATCAATTTCCACTTTTTCTTTCCCCCCCTTTTTTAAAATAAATTTTTATTGGTTTAAAATACAAACATACGGCGAAGGTAAGTATAACAAAGTTAAATACAAAAAGACTACGTAAAATCAAGAAAAAAATTGAAAAGACAAAAAAGGAAAAAAGAAATGAAAAAAAACAACCAAAAATTTATACAACACCATGTCCATCAAATAAAATTTTATTTGATGGACAATTTGCACTTTTTCATGGAGAGTCTCCATGAAAATTCGTCACGACTTTAACACGAATTCCCCCCATTCGTCTTTCATTTCGCCTCATTTTTGCAAGGTCGTTCCCCCTCCCGGCAGAACACATTTTGGTGTTATCTGCGTTTTACGTACACTCCACCTCAATCCGTGCCTTTGCACGCGAGGGGCGCGCCGCAAAGCAAGATTCGGAAAAGGGCGAATCTTGCAGACCCGACTCCGCAGCCCGTTTATTCGGGAAAGCAAGGATTAGGAAGTGTTGCATGAATTTGAAGGTGCACCAAACATTGGGGTCCTTCCCCTATATCCCTAAAAGCAGCCCGCTGCCTGGGGAGGCAGGCTTTCAAGGAGACACACCTGCCGCGAGAAGAGACTCGTCTCCCGAAAGCGCCACGAAGCAGATCTTCTCTGGGAGCTTCTCCAGGAGGCTATTTCCCTCTGAGGAGACCTGTGGGGAGTGTTGCAGGAATTTATGTATAGGGTGCGGGGTTCCCCCTCCAGCAGATATCATGCCCATGCAGTCCACTACAGTGGTGCCTCGCAAGACGAAATTAATCCGTTCCGCGAGTCTCTTCGTCTTGCGGTTTTTTTCGTCTTGCGAAGCACGGCTATTAGCGGCTTAGCAGCTATTAGCGGCTTTAAGAAAAAAGAAACAAACTCGCAAGAACTCACAAGACGTTTCGTCTTGCGAAGCAAGCCCATAGGGAAATTCGTCTTGCGGAACGACTAAAAAAACGGAAAACCCTTTCGTCTAGCGAGTTTTTCATCTTGCGAGGCATTCGTCTTGCGAGGCACCACTGTACCAAAATCAGCACACTTTTGTGATTTGTCCCCACAAAACACTTCATCACAAAACACTTCATCACCGTTTCTTCCTATCTATTCAAAGGGCCTTTGCTGCAAAATACCAAATGTCAGAATTCACTGATCAATGGATCTCTGTACTGGCTCACTGGGAAACTTCAGAAATTCATCTAGACATGTGAGCTCAGCTCCTCAGCAGCCCCTCTGCCTGAGTGATAATCCCTGGCCTCCTGATACCTGAGTGCCAGACAGGTAGCCATTCCAGAAATAACAAACCCAGATGAAGTCAAAAGGGTGTGATTCCAATATGCATTCCTTTCTATGGGAAAGCAAGCCTTTGGAACGCTTCAGTTTTGGAACAGATTCAGTTTGAGAACCATGGTACCACTGTAGTTTTCGACATTAATGAGGATCGGTACATACCAGATTAAAAGAAATACGGCTATTTTTGTGGACACTCATCAATATTTACATCAATGTATCCCTATATACCAGATTAAAACAAATCTGTCTGCTTTTATTGTTATCAAAAGATGAACAAACGTTCACATATGTTTGAGAAACCAAGGTGCCACTATATATGAATTGGAATCCCTTTTTAAATCAATTGAGATTCCCTGCACATCCTCCTTTCTGAGCTCAGCGCCACTGGGAGGGCGGCAAAATAGGGAAATTCTGGGTTCGAGAACCTAGGTGCCAGTGTAATCAGAATTTTATTCTTTGTAGTTTTCATATTTCCCCCAAAGTCTGGCTGTGTTGCCCCAGCCCCTCCGCCCCCAACCCCAGCCCCAAAGCAGGCACCATCAGGAGGGAGCCCTCGCTGAACCCGGACACCATCCTGCCCATTTTCCGGAGCAAAGCGCCGCAGGTGGGGGCTCCATCCTCTGGCAGCCCCCCCAGCTGCTGCCTGGAGAGGAGCTGCCCGCTGAGACTGTCCCACAGGCGGACGCAGCCCCCCGACACCGTCACCACCACCAGCCGCGGCACGAAGATGGCAGCGCACAGCCAGCCGCCTGGTGGCTCAGCCAAGATCCGGAAAGCGGGGGCCGCTGTGCCCAGGTGCCAGGCCTCCACCTGCGGGAAAGAGGGAGGGTCTGTTAAGACTCTCTTGCAGGGCATTTCCCATTGTGCAACACGGAATTGCAGAATATTTCGGACTCTCAGAGTGTCCCTGTTTTCTAAGGAGAGTCCAGGATGAACCGTCCCATTATAATGCCAGTCTACGCACCTCTGAGCCAGACACCCAGTACACAATTTGGTGTTTGTCGTCCACGCTGAGTTGGCACCATTCCTGATCCCCCGCAGGGACGGCGGGCGCAACAGCTTCCTCCCTGCCAGACTCCAGGCTCCAGAGTCGCAGGGTTCGATCCTGGGCGACCGAAACGGCGCGGGTACCCCTGGCGAAGACCCTCAGGCACCTCACTTCGGCTGCAAGGAATCGGGGGAGATTATTATTATTATTAATTATAAAAGTCAGAGAGTTGTATATTTCCTTGACATCTGATGGGAGAGGGTGCCACCACCGAGAAGGCCCTCTGCCTGGTTTCATGCAATTTTGCTTGGAATCGCCAGAAGGCTCTCGGAGCTGGACCTCAGTGCACCCCAATTAAAATTCGCCATTAATCACAGCTGCCTGGCACTGCCCGCCCTCTGCCCCCCTTGCAAGCAAGAGGCGGCCTGGCACCAGGCAGCCTGGCAAAAGCACCCTTCCCTTCTGATCCTCACCCGAGTGGCCGAGGAGGACGTGACGCACTGAGAAATCTTCCGTGTCCCACACGATGATGGAGCCGTCCGAGGAGCCAGCCAACAGCATCCTGTGGTCAGGGCTGGCTTCCAGGACGGAGGTGCCTGCAAATTGTGGGGGCAGGTCAGAGGGGCAGCTCTGGCGTGGGTCACCTAACCCACCAGGCTGTGGGTCCAGCGGTCTGGGCTGGCGGAGAAAAGGAAGGACTTGGGGGGGGTGTTAACCTGCGGAACTCTCTGCCACTGGAGGTAGGGGTGGGCAGTGAAATTCACAGAGGAGAGCAGGAAGCTGGGCTTAGACCATGGCTTCCCAAACTCAGGTCTCCGGCTATTTTCAAACTACAGTTCCCATTATCCCTGACCTCTGGGTCCTGCTAGCTAGGGAAGGTGGGAGCAGTAGTCCCAAAACAGACCCAATTTTGGGGAGCTTTGGCTTCGGATGACCCAGCCGCTGCTGCCCGCCAGGGCTCTCCTAATATCGTGGGGGTCACCCGTGCGAATCCGGACACCCACCTTTGGGGAATCCTGGCAGCGTCTTCCGCAGAGGCCCGTCCGGTGGATCAAGGAAGCCGACGAGAGGGACAAGGGACGGATGGGGCCGCGATCCAAGCCAGCTCTTGCACTGCTGGCAAAGACCCGCGATCAGGCCGCCCGGGTACGAGGGCACCAGCGACTCCAACCGCGCCAGCATCTCTGTGTAGACCACGTTTGGTTCTGGAGGGGCGAGGAGACAGGGGAGGGTCACACACACAGCGTTTATTTCGTTATTGCATTTGCACCCTGTTAACAGAGAAATCCGAGGGCTCCCTTGGACAAAAAACAAGGACACCAGCCAGGAATACGAGAGCAAAACAGCAGCCAGTCGGCTTGGTCTTTATTGAAGACAGACAGGACTCCCACCTGCCACAAGGCGGAACAAGATGGAAGCCCCGAACAAAAGAGAACCCCAACTTTTATTAGCTACTCATCCCCATGTTACAGCCCCCAAACTACATCACTAATGCATCATGGTTACATCATGAAAGGGGAGGTCTGGTGGCCGGAATCTGAGCATCCTGGACCCTGCCCCATGGTTCCCATTGCCCTCCACCAAACACCCATCAAGTGGAACAAAAGAGATATTTACATTTCCCTGTTTCCCAGCCAAGTTCATCCCACCCTTTTGTCTTCATCTGGGTTTGTTATTTCTGGAATGGCTACCTGTCTGGCACTCAGGTATCAGGAGGCCAGGGATTAGCTCACATGTCTATATGAATTTCTGAAGTTTTCCCAGTGAGCCAGTACAGAGATACATTTATCAGTGAGTTGTTGCATTTGGTATCGTGCAGCAGAGGCCCTTTGAATAGATAGGAAGAAACTGTGATGAAGTGTTTTGTGGGGACAAGTCCCAAAAGTGATTGTGCTGGTTTTGGTAGTGGGCTGCATGTGCATGACATCTGCTGGAGGGGCAACGCCACCCCCCCCACCTATACATAAATTCCTGCAACAACACACACAGCATTTATTTCATTATTGCATTTGCACCCAACCTGCCTTTTATTCTGAGGAGCTCAAGTCAAGCTCCCTGGTTCTCGCCCTCCCTGTTTTATCTGTGCAACAACAGCCCTGCAGAGTAGGCTTAGCCAAAAGGAAGGGATTTGCCTTCAAAGGTTGGGCAAGTGGAGATTGTTTAAGAGCAACAGACCCACCTAAACGGCCCTCAGCATCGTCCACACCGGGATCCAGGAGCCGGAGGAGGCAATCCCATACCAAACGCAGCTCCGGGCAGATGATGTGAGTCAGGCACAGGGCAAAGTCCGTGGCCAGGATCCGCACGCCAGAGGAAGCAACCCTGCAGGAGATCCAGGCCATGTTCCCTGGAGGAGGAAGAGAGAAAGCACATTTCCTCCAATGTTTCTCCCCTCAAAATAGGGATGTCCTATTCCATCCCCTCCAACGTTTCTCCCCTGAAAAGAGGGACGTCCTATTCCATCCCCTCCAACGTTTCTCCCCTGAAAAGAGGGACGTCCTATTCCATCCCCTCCAACTTTTCTCCCGTCAAAAAGAGGGGCAACGAAGGCGCAGGAGCTCTTCCCGCTCACCCAGAACGTCTCGGCGCAGCTCTTCCATCCGTCCCCCGTGGAGCAAGTGGAACGGCTGTTCGCTCAGCTTCCTCCGGTTGGGAAGACGGCTGGAGAACCACAATGGCTGCGGCGTCACCTGGGTGAGAGGGAACGAAGACGGGACTTTTTTAAAGAATAAAAAATAAGGAAATTATGAAACGAAATGAAAAATAAAGAATAGAAATAATGAAATGAAAAAATAAAGAACAAAAAATAATGAAATGAAATGAAAAAATAAAGAATAGAAATAATGAAATGATGAAATGAAAAAATAAAGAATAAAAAATAATGAAATGATGAAATGAAAAAATAAAGAATAGAAATAATGAAATGAAAAATAAAGAATGAAAAAGAATGAAATGAAATGAAAAAATAAAGAACAAAAATAATGAAATGAAATGAAAAAATAAAGAATAGAAATAATGAAATAATGAAATGAAATGAAAAAATAAAGTATAAAACAGAATGAAATGAAACGAACCCCCCTCGTCTGGCCAGCAAGCGAAAGCCCCCCCGGTGGCGTCCCCCTGGCATCTCCCCCCGCCGGCCCCCCTGGCGCTTTCGGGGTCCCCAGAGCTTCACCTTCCTGTCAACGCTCACAGGCTTGGCAGAGGAGGGCAGCACGATGGGCTTCTTCGCCCCCCAACTCCAGGTCCCCCGGAAGAAATCGGCCAGAAGCAGGTGGCGCCGGACACGGTCCTCCGGCCGAGACAGGTAGCGCTCCTCCACCGCGGCCGAAAACTCCCTGGGCAGAGGAAGGAGGGACGGCTCAGGCCAAGCCTCGGACCATGGGGCTTCGGATGGGCAGCGGGGTTTCGGGCTCAGGGGCCGTCCCGAGCCCCACCTCAATAGGCAATTCGGGGGGCGAAGCTGGCACCTCCTGAGCTCTGCCCCCCAACCCCCTAAAAGTATATGAAGAGGCTAGTCCTCATGGACTGGTTTAAAGGAGGACGTAGGAATTCGCCTCATCCCCAGCCAGACCATTTGTCCGACTAGCTATCACTTAACAGTTCTCTCTCTCGCGCGCCAATTAAGTTTCTTTTTATATATACTGTACTTTTCCGGGTATAAGACTAGGTTTTTTTTATTTCAAAATTCAAAATTGTGGGTCATCTTATATACGGATCTAATCTCCCCCCATTTTCTCAAATTGGAGTCTGCCAAAATAGGGGGCGTCTTATACATGGGGGGCGTCTTATACACATAAAAATACAGTATAAATTTTCCAGGTCAACATTTTACAGTCACACATGCAACCTACAACATAAGAACAAGATTTCCAAAGAATCTCCTGGACTTCCCCCTCCCCTTTGTGGGTCTCTGTTGTCAGTCATTTCCTCTCCCGCATCTTTTATGATAATCCAAAATCTTCTACCTCTCCACTGTGTCCAAAATTCACCATTAAACTACTTCCGCGTACCTGGAGGTGCCCAGCATGTCACCTGGAACGTTCTGCATGCCAAGCAGGTGTCCTGCTGCGCCCAAGCTGCGGGCTTCGCCCTTTCGCGGCAGAACCGGGACCCTCTTTCCGGACCCCTTGGCAGCCCCAAAAAGGAGGGGAGGAAGAGGGGTGGCCCCTGACCTGTGGAGGAAGGCCATCAGCACGAAGCCGCCGCACCACTTCTCCTCCAGCTCCGGGTTCAAATCCCGGCGCAGGCAGGACCACAGCAAGGGCGGCAGGCGGAGGACCCCTTTGCCCGGCGGAGGGTGCGACCGGTACACCTCAGAGAGGACCTCATTGTCCAGGGACAGGACATCCTTCATCTCTGCTTCGGAGAGGCCGTTCCTGCGCAAAAAAACAAAATAAAAGGTAGGAAATCAGGCAGAGGAACTCCCCGACACCAGCTTTGCCTACCTCCCAGGGCTGTTGTTTCTTGTTTAATCTATATAAAACTTAGAAGGAAGGAAATCAGGCAGAGGAACTACCCAACACCAGCTTCGCCTACCTCCCAGGGTTGCTGTTTGTTTTTTAATATACCGTATTTTTTGCTCTATAAGACTCACTTTCCCCCTCATAAAAAGTAAGGGAAAATGTGTGTGCGTCTTATGGAGCGAATGCAGGCTGCGCAGCTATCCCAGAAGCCAGAACAGCAAGAGGGATTGCTGCTTTCACTGCGCAGCGATCCCTCTTGCTGTTCTGGCTTCTGAGATTCAGAATATTTTTTTTCTTGTTTTCCTCCTCCAAAAACTAGGTGCGTCTTGTGGTCTGGTGCTTCTTATAGAGCGAAAAATACGGTATATAAAAGTTTTGGTTTGCTTAAGAAAGAGGAAAGATATGAAGTTTTGTACGTTCCCCTATAAACCTTAATCAAATTTACACACAAAAAATAAGCACACATGCGCAGGTCCTCACCGGGCGCAAGCGAGGTAGCCCAGGGCATTCGCCACCAACACGGAGCCATGCGCTTCCTCCATGCGCCCGAAGAGGCGGTGCGCGGCCTCTGTGGCCATGAGTGGGACCGCCAGGGCTGAAAGCGGGGCGTACGATGCCCACCGACGAGCCTCAGTGAGGGCGAGGGACAGCGGCAGCGCCTGTCCACCGTTGGAGAAGCTTTGCCGGAAAAGCGCCTGCTGTTCTGGCTGGAGGGTACGCCCTGCAGATGCCAAGCTCTCGGCCAGAGCCTTGCCAGCCTCCTCGGCGGAGAGAGGGGCCACCACGAAGGGGTCCCCGCCAAAAGCGCTGCCACCCTCGTCCCGGGCAGAGACGACCAGCTGCACCCCGGGAGGGCAGACCGCCGGCAGCCAGGCGGTGCCCAGACTCTCCGTGGCATCGAGGATCAAGACCAGAGGTTGAGAGCCCTGACGGGAGGCTGAGAGGAGCGCATGGTGGAAGCGCAGAAGAGGGTCACCGGTGCCCGGCGGGCTCAGCCCCAGCGCCAGGCAAACCTGCTGGCAGAGGCTGGCAAGGAGGGCGTCGCGCCCGCAGCTGTCCTGCGATGCCCCCAGCAGCCGGAAAACCACCACCGCCTTAGGTCCCAGGGCCTGGCAAGCCGCCCCTCGCAGGTGGCACAGCAGGACGGTCTTGCCACAGCCGGGCGGCCCGTGGACCACGAGGGGAGGGTGGCACTGTGGCAGGCTGTCCCTCAGGCGTTGGCAGAGGGAGTCCACCAGCTCTGGTCGCCAGCACGGGCTGCGGCAACGCTCCTGAGCCAGGGCGGCGTGGTGGCTGAGTTCCTGCAGCAGCCGCCTACCACCAGGGCGCCCTTCCCGCGCCCGCAGGGCCCGGATCGCTTGGTAGTTGGCGACGGCCACAAACTGGTCGCACAGCTCCTTGAGGTGTTTGGGCTGTGGCTTCTGGCGGAGGGCGCCGGGGGCCGCAGCATGGGGTGCCCGGTGGACCCTGAGCAAACCAGGGCAGGCGCTGGCGACGGTGCCCTTCAGCTCCTCCAGCATCTGGCGGGCATCTTCCTCCTCTTCCTCGCCCTCTTCCTCGCCCTCCTCGTCCAGGGAGGTCTCGGTTTCTCGGAGGAAGACCACCGCGGTCCCTTCGTCCTCCGGCCCCAAGAGGCGTGCCTCGATTTCCCTGTGCGTATCTGGAAAAAGAGGGCGAGTCTGTGAGGAGGAGCGGCAGAAGGCATCCTCACAGAACTCTAGCCCAACGGTTGGCATTAATTTGATTCTGAATTGATTTTAGAATCGATTCAATTAATCGATTTTGATTTTAGGTAAACTGTGTTACTTTTATTGTTAGCGGCTTCGGCTGGGGAGGGCGGGATATAAATAAAATTTTATTATTTATTATACGCGACAAGTGTCACGGTTTCCCCGGGACGGTCCTGGAATCACAAAAGCACCATTGGCCCAAACAGAATGGGGGAAATACGGAGAATATACCCTGAAAAGCAGGGCCCTCAAATTAATACTTGGATGAACTCTTGCAAAATGTATTCTGGCGCTTAAATTGAGAACAGAAAGGAAAAGGGGCGATCGCAGATTAAGGAGGAGACCGCTTGCAAAAAATTAAAAGAACTGTGTTGAGGATGGAGGAAGTCGATTGGAAGAGGAGAAGCGAAATATGGTGTGTGTGTGTGTGTGTGTGTGTGTGTGTATATATATTGCTGATTATTTGTTCTGCATAAGTTTCCATACATAGCTATGTTTTATTTGTATTTCTTCTTTTTTTGTGTTTTCTTTTTGGTTGTGTGTTAGTAGTTCTATGTTTAGTTTTATGAGTGTGTGTGCTGCGAAACTCAAAATAAAATTAAAGAACGAGTGGAATTACAAAAGTATTATTATTATTAAAAAGAGGTGCCAGAACTCACTTGTTCTCTCTACCAGAACTGAATTCCGGCTGAAAAAAAAGCCCCGTATATAATCTATGATCATTACTATTATTAAATATATTAGTAATCGTGATAATAAAACGATGCATCAAATTAGAGGAGGGGAATTTCCTTGCAGAAACGGGCCAGCCACAGACACACACCTGATTTGTGGTAGCGCAGTCGCTGACACTGGCCAATCATCCCCTTCCTCTCCGCCTCCCGGGCTGCTCTGCGCAGGGCCGGGACCAAACTCTGCTCCTCGCCGTGGGGCAGGGGACGTTGGAGGGCGTACACCGGAGGGGCGGCGTTCTCGTCCTTCAGGTACCGCCGGGTCAGCATCTGCAAAGCCTGCGGCTCCTCCTGTTGCAGCTGGGCCGCCAGGGCCTCGAATTCCTCCTCCCCGATGGTCGCGGGGGCCGGGCAGGGGCCGTAGCGGCTCCCGAGGAGAGCCTGGGGTGGGGTGGGGCGAGAGAGGGGCAAAGAGGGTCCTGTCTAAGCCCAGCCTCCTGCCCTCACGAGCCCCCAAGCCAGAGGCGAGAGAGACAGCCTGCTTTGGCTCTCTGGCCTTTCTAAGGTAGACTGCTCCTGTCCAGGGAGGCTCCATTGAGGAACTCTAGGAAACTCAGAAGAGCCCAGTGGCAACAGCAGCAGGATCAGGCCCAAGAGGGGCCCATCTGAGTCCAGGTTCCTCCTCCCATTCTTGCTCTCCCTCTTTTTTTAAGGTAGACTGCTCCTGCCCATGGAGGCTCCATTGAGGAATCCTAGGAAATTCAGAAGAGCCCTGCAGCAGCCAAAGAGGGGGTCATCTAAGTCACAGCGGCCGACCAGATGTCCGTTATGGGATTCCCCCCCCATCAGGATTCGAACCCAGAGCCTTCTCTCCAGCGACCGGCATTCAGATGCATCGCTGCCTCCGACTGCGGGGGGACAGAGATTCTTGCGAGAACCCCCTCCCCAGCCCCATAGCAGCTCCCCTTGACCCCCGGGGAGCCCTCAAGGAGGAGACGCTGTCACTCACCACGAAACTGGGCCCCACCGAGAGCTCCTGGCAGCGCCGAATCTCGTCCAGGAAGAGGGGCTCTTGGCCAGCGCCTGTGACGTCACGGATGCCCCATCTCAAATCAATGACCTGGACCGGATTCGGCAGAGGGGGGAGTTAGCAAGTTTGGAGGCAGGGGGAAGAATCCTGCGCCCACTTGGGGGGTTTGGAAAGACCCCTCCCGGGAAAACTATAATTCCCAGGATTCTCAATGTGCTTCAGAAGTGCGCCAGAAGGGTGGATATTCCCCCCTCCCCCCGGTCCTGTGTTCGAAAGACCCCGTCTGCTCAAAGAGGCGCGTTCAGCTGGCTCTGAGCTGAGATAGGGGTGGGGGTTTTTTGATGGGGGGTCCTCACCTCGAACATCAAGCCGTGTTTCTGGCAAAAGGCCTGGACTTCGGGGTACGCCGACTCCATCAGGGCCTCTCTTTCTGCCTCCATGTCTGTAACCGGAGAATCGGAGAAGGGGGGCTTTCGTGCTGCTAGCTTTCTGCTTGCGAGGGGCCCCAAATTTATTTATTTCACTCGAAGGCAGCCCACGTGCTTCTCCCCACAACGAGGCAGGTCTAGCCAAGAGGGGCAGCCCCACAAGAGGTCACACCCCCAAGGAGAATTTCCTGTTGGTCGAGTGGCAGAACTCGAACCCTGCTCTCTCTCTTTTTTATTTTATTTTTTAAAATAAATTTATTTGGTTTTCCCAGTTGAAGTTTTACAACCAGATCTCCAACATACCTAATAAAAACAAGATTTGAAATAATCTCCTGGACGCCGCCCCCCCCCTTTTTGGTGTCCTATTGTCATTGCTTCCCCCCACCCCAAAAAAAAAATGTTTAGAGATACTCTCGTTTTGACTCAAGAAAGCCACCGTTTTCTAGTTCGAATCGGGGAAAATACATACAGCAAATGGGAAAAAATACAAAGGTTCACAAAATGTTTAGGGGTATGTGTAACACTGTGTCCCCCCCAGGGAAAAAAGCACTGCCTATTGTTAACCATTTCCTCCTGCATTTAAAAAATAATAATCCAAACCCTTTTACATCCCCATTAGACCCAAAAATTCACCATTAAACTACAAGCGTTATCTCTCTCTCTCTCGTTTTGTCAGGCCCTGACCGACAGATACTCTAACCACTGCGCTGCGCTTCCCCGCAGCGCTTCGCTCCCTCTGAGCCACCTCCAATTCGTTTATTGTTTCGTTTTTGTTATTTGCAATATACATATGACAGACGTACAAAAGAAAATATGATTACGCAAACATTAAAGGAAGAAAACAAAAGAATTGGGCATTACCTTTAGCAACACATACCTTACAGTGAATTATGAAATGCAAAAAAATACGGGAAAAGAAAATTACAAAACTATAAATAGGGAAAAGAAAGGAAGAATAAGAATAAAGAGGAAAAGAAGGAAATTAAAAGTTGGTTGGCTCCGATTTGACCCCCCTGCTCAAACTCTCATCTCTCCGATGATCGTGCCAAATGTCAGAGATGCTTTTGGCGAGATCTTGGCCTGGCAAGTTTGGGGTTGGGCTAGATGACCGCTGGGTTCCCTTCCATCTCTGATCTTATGAGGCCCCAGGAAGCCCAGCCCTGCACCCCATGCCCAGGCCTCTTCCTGCCTGCCTGCCCCCCACCCTCTGCGGCAAACCGGGGGGCACCTGAAGGCGTTGAGCTCACAAAGATCCGGACGAGGTTGGAGGGCCGGCTGCCCCCCTTTCCCCGGAGAAGGAGGTCCTGCTCCGGCGGAGAGAGGCTCATCCTGCCCGGCTGCCGAGTCGCTCTGCCTGCCCCGGTGCCAAGGAAGGTGCCCGGTCCTCCCCGGGGAGGCAGGTCGCCGTAGCAACGCGGAGGCAGGTGGGGAAGAGTCCCTCCCCGGGGCATCGTCAGGTGAGGCACACCTGAGGCGTCCTCTGGGAGGAGAGATGGAGAAGGGTTGCGGTGGCGGCGGCAGCAGGATCAGGCCAAGGGGGCCCCCAAAGAATAAGAAGCCCCCCTCCAACAAGACCCACTGCTGGATTTCTGTATAAGCTAAACAAGCTCTAGCTTAGGGTCCCACTCTCTTAGGGGCCCCCAAAAAATTGAAAGGGGAAAAAAGCTTACTAATTTTTTCACTGTTAATATACTTCTTAATTTAATTTCACTATTAATATACTTCTTAATTGTTTTTCAGTTCAACAATGACTTTGATAAAATACATATTTTGAGATGCCTATTCGGTCCATAAATTACCATATAGCATATATTCAACACACACAAAACGGCGACAGTTTGTTGTTGACGAAGGACAGCTGGACATAGAAAGGGCCCCATGGCCTACAGCAGCTGAGGGCCGCATCAAACTGAAATCTGGCCCTGGCAGGAAGCCAGGGGTCTGAGGGCTGGGAAGCAAGGAGTCACGAAGCCAGGGGTCCGAGGGTCGAGAAGCAAGGAGTCACAAAGTCAGGGGTCCAAAGGTCAGGAAGGAAGGAGTCACGAAGTCAGGGGTCCGAGGGTTGAGAAGCAAGGAGTCACGAAGTCAGGGGTCCGAGGATCAAGAAGCAAGGAGTCACGAAGTCAGGGGTCCGAGGGTCAAGAAGCAAGGAGTCACGAAGTCAGGGGTCCGAGGGTCAGGAAGCGAGGAGTCACAAACTCAGGGGTCCCAGGATCAAGAAGCAAGGAGTCACGAAGTCAGGGGTCCGAGGGTCAGGAAGCAAGGAGTCACGAAGTCAGGGGTCCCAGGGTCAGGAAGCAAGGAGTCACGAAGTCAGGGGTCCGAGGGTCAGGAAGCAAGGAGTCACGAAGTCTGGGGTCCCAGGGTCAGGAAGCAAGGAGTCACGAAGTCAGGGGTCCGAGGATCAAGAAGCCAGGAGTCACGAAGTCAGGGGTCCGAGGGTTGAGAAGCAAGGAGTCACGAAGTCAGGGGTCCGAGGGTTGAGAACCAAGGAGTCACGAAGTCAGGGGTCCCAGGGTCAGGAAGCAAGGAGTCACGAAGTCAGGGGTCCCAGGGTCAGGAAGCAAGGAGTCACGAAGTCAGGGGTCCCAGGATCAGGAAGCAAGGAGTCACGAAGTTCAGGGTCCAAGAAGCAAGGCAGGAAGCGTGTTGCTGTGGCAAAGAGCCGAAGGGAAATGCTGACCTTCTATCCCTTCCCGGCTCTTGCCACCAGGTGCAGTGAGTTACCAATCAGCCTCACCTGTGCGGCTGCACCTTGCCTCTCCAGAACAAACTTAGGAAGGCCCCAGTCATGCAGAGTCCTATTGGTCACAGGGCCTGGCTCCTGCACTCACTCCTGACACCCCAGACTCTACAATTCTTTGGCATAACACCCCGATATCGGTTCGTGCAAAGCCTGCGGGAAGATTAAATGTGGCGCCAGGCCTGCCCCCCTTTTCCAATGCCCTGTTTTTGCTGCCAAAAAAAGGGGTCCGCTTTTTGGGGAGGGAGAAGCGGCAAAAGGGTCTTGGGAGATTTTCACTTCGCTGGACAGCTTTTGCTCCTCCTCCTCCTGACGCTCTTCCGTTTCTCGATGATGAAGTCGATCTGATAGATGAGCAGCACGGCGAGAAAGAAGACGACCGCCTGGAATGAGGAAAGGAGGACAGGCGCGCTTGTGACTGTATTTAAGGACCTCAGGAGAATCTTGTAGCGGCCATTGCAGCTGGATCAGGCCCCTTGGGGCCCGTATAAGTCCTGCCCCCTGTCCTCGCAAAGGGAAGAAGCCCACAAGCGGGACCTGAGAGAAACAGCACCCCCCTCTGCTCTTGTTCTCCACTGTTCTAAGGTAGACTGGCTCTACGCGTGGAGGCTCCACTTCGGAATCATAAAAGGAGCCACACGGCGGCAGCTGGATTAGGCCAAAGGGGGCCCATATAAGCCCAGCCAACCGGTTGCCCACAAGGGGAAGCCCCCAAGCAGGACTTATGGGTTTATCCTTGCAGAAGCCACGCTGGTTCTTGTTCCAGCAGGGCTTGTCCTTCTCTAGACGTGGTCATTTACCTTCAACAACCTGGATAGGCCTGTAATTTCCTGGATACTTCCCCTCCCTTTTTTCAACTGCCTTTGCGCCAGCCTCCTCCTTCTCTATTAAATACAGCCCTTGACTTATCCTCGCAGAAGCCACGCTGTTTCTTGCTCCAGCAGGGCTTGTCCTTCTCTAGACTTCTGCCTTCGACAACCTGGATAGGCCTGTGATTTACTGGATACCTCCCCACCTACCTTTTAAACTGCCTTTGCGCAGGGCCCTCCTTCTTGATTTGAAATACAGACTTATCCTTGCAGAAGCCATGCTGGTTCTTGCACCAGCAGGGCTTGTTCTTCTCTATACTTGGCCATTCTGCCTTCCACATCCTGCAGAGGCCTGTAATTTCCTGGATTCCTCCCTTTTTAAAACCACCTCTTTCTTCTCCTTGAATGCTCTCGCTGGAAGGGAGGCGCGTTGGCCTGCAGCCCTGATTTTGGGAAGAGGGACAAGATTGGAGCCCCCCCTCCTCCCCTAGCATCCCTCTTGCTCACCTCCAGGACCAGCAGCCCAAAGGCCAGCCCGGCCACCAAGAAGAGGTTGCTGCGGCCCCAGCGGACCGTCTTCTCCAAACACCCCTCGGTGTGCACCAAAAACTCGGCCTTCCATGGCTTCAGCTTCTGCGTCCCGTAGCCGCACATCGTGTTCAGAACGGCCTGCGAGGAGCGAGCGAGAATGGGGTGACCCATTAGGAAGGCCCCTTTGCGACAGCCCAAAGATGCCGCCTTCCGTTTGCCCTCCGGGATACTGTTGGCGGTTGGAGGTAGACTGCCTTGGGACAAGGAAGCTCTACTCCGAATAAGACGATCTGGGGAGACCCAAAGCAGCCGAACCAAAGGGGCCCCGTCTCGTCCAGCAGCAGACACGAAAGCCGACGGCCTCCAACTCTTTGCCAGTGTTCGGGGCAGGTTGCCTCCGAAGCTGTGCTTTGGGTGTCTTTGTGGGTTTCCCAGAAGAAGCGTCCGGCTGGCCAATGTGGGCACAGCTGGACCAGGTGGGCTCCGGCTGCAGTGCTCTTTGCGCAGTGCTCTTTGTCGCAATGCCTACATGGGGCATATGTGCATGTAGGGAGTGCCTAGCTACATGCACGTGGGATCGGGGCAAGGCCTCCCCAAGCCAGCTGGGAGTAAAGGCTCCCCAAGCCAATTGAGAGCGAGGGCTTCCCAACTGTCCAAAAGAAACTAAATGTGGAAAAAATGGGGTACCTATAGTGATTTGCTGTCTTTTGAAAAGGATGGAACGGTATTAAGTTTATTAAAAACCAGCAAGGTTTCTTTCAAGCCAGCCGGGAGTAAGGACTCCCAAAGCCAATTAAGAGTGAGGGCTCCCCAACTGTCCAAAATAAATTAAACCTGGAAAAAAATGGGGCAGCTATAGAGATTTATTATCTTTTGAAAAAGATGGCATTAAGTAAAAATAAATCAGCAAGGCCTCCCCAAGCCAGCTGGGAGTAAGGGCTCCCGAAGCCAATTATGAGTGAGGGCGTCCCAACTTCCTAAATAAACTAAATGTGGAAAAAATGGGGTACCTATAGCGATTTGCTATCTTTTGAAAAGGATGATACGGTATTAAGTTTATTAAAAACCAGCAAGGTTTCCTTCAAGCCAGCCAGGAGTAAGGGCTCCCAAAGCCAATTAAGAGTGAGGGCTTCCCAACTGTCCAAAAGAAATTAAATATGGAAAAAATGGGGCAGCTATAGAGATTTGTTATCTTTTGAAAAGGATGGTATTTAGTAAAAATAAATCAGCAAGGCCTCCCCAAGCCAGCTGGGAGTAAGGGCTCCCGAAGCCAGTTATGAGTGAGGGCTTCCAATGCCAGTTAAGAGTAAGGGCTTAAGGTTAGGTTTCTACCAGTCAGTGTCCGGTTCGGGTTGAGCATGCCCTGTTGGGCTGCCTCCTCACCTCTTTGCCTCGCACGCAGCAAGAGAACGGGACAGCGCAGCGCTCCAGGCTGGGGTTCAAATCCCGGCAGTCGAAGTAAACGTTCTGGGACCAGTCTTTGTAGGAGTGGATGCCGCAGCACTCAAACTGGGGAGAGAAATAAACAGGAGCGAAGGGCGTTGAAGAACAGAAGGCTTTCCCCCCGGATTATTTAAAGGCTATGACGAACGCGTGAGCGGGATTTGAACTCAGAGCAAAAGGAGGACTCTCTTGTTTGGACGCTGGCGGGTGAAGGGACCGGCCCAGTCCACCAGGGGGCGAAACAGTTGCCCTGCCCCGGGGCACCGGCAACCCACGCTATGCCCCTGCGAGAAAAGGAAACCTCGGCGTCTCTCATCCTTTTACCTTCTTTTGGATGTAATCAATGAGGTTTTGCAGGTCCAGGTTGTCGCGGTAACGGGCAATGGCTCGTCCCATCAGCAGGGTGGCTTTCTCCATCACCTGGGACACGGTGGAGGGAGGGGAGAGGAGAGAAAGAGAGTACAGGAGCAGTGAGAAATCTCCCCTGCGCCCGTCAAGAGTGCATCTCCAGCCGACAGCGAAAAGTTTGGAGAATATGGCGGATTTAATAAGCTCCCCCCCTTTGCAGCAAACCGAACGGACTTCCGGAATGGGTTAAATTAAGGTTACCGGATTTTTTCCAATGGATCCGGGGACACTTTTCAACTCCAATGGATTTTGTAGGGGGGCTGATTTGTATATCCGGGGACTGTCCCTGGGAAACGGGGACGTCTGGTAAGCTTAATTTGAGAACCAAGGTACCACTGTACTGGTGAAATCAAATAAAAATAATTTTAAAAGAGAAAAAGAGTGAATCTGTATGCCCAAAAAGCCGCTCTAATTCTCATGGGGATTGGACCCGGGAGAGCTTTGGGGTGCAGAGCGGGCGCCCCAACTGTGCCCCACCTTGCCCCAAATGCCAAGCTACGCAGGTGCCAGTTTTGTTTTGTTTTGTTCATTTTCCACCTCTACATTTTGATTCTCTGGCCCCATATTTGCACAAACCTATTATCCCAAAATACAGATGTGCTTTTACACTTGCAAGACTGGATGTTTTGCCATCTGCGGTACTCAAGGGTCGATTCCAAAAGATCCCGCCTGAGAAATGTCTTTGCCCCTGTGGAGACGGTAGCACCGAAACAGTGGCACACGTCCTCCTGTCTTGCGCTCTCTACAAAGCCCTGAGGAACGGGATCATCACCCCACTCGGACTAACCATCCCAGGGCGCTCAGCCACTGCCACAATCTCCTTCTATCAGATCAAAATGAGCAGATAACAGCAAAGGTTGCTGGGTTCATAGAAGGAAATCAGAATAAGGACCACTAACTTGACGGCTGATTCAGGAGTTTAAATTGTGCTCTTATATCAAATTTCCTTTTCTGCGTACAGTGGAACCTCTGGTTACAGGCGCTTCAGGTTACAGACTCCGCTAACCCAGAAATAGTGCTTCAGGTTAAGAACTTCGCTTCAGGATGAGAACAGAAATCGTGCAACAGCGGCGCGGCGGCAGCAGGAGGCCCCATTAGCTAAAGTGGTGCTTCAGGTTAAGAACAGTTTCAGGTTAAGAATGGACCTCCGGAACGAATTAAGTACTTAACTCGAGGTACCACTGTATACTGTAATGTTTTGCTGTTGCTATGGCCACTGGCTAATGTGAATATCTATCTATCTATCATCTATCTATCTATCTATCTATCTATCTATCTATCTATCTATCTATCTCTATCTATCTAACTATATCTATCTATCTATCTATCTATCTATCATCTATCTATCTATCTATCATCTATCATCTATCTATCTATCTATCTATCTATCTATCATCTATCATCTATCTATCTATCATCTATCATCTATCATCTATCTATCTATCTATCTATCTATCTATCTATCTATCTATCTATCATCATCTATCTATCATCATCTATCTATCATTTATCTATCTTTGTTTTGTTTTCCTTACCATGCCAGAGAAGAGGAAGCCCAGAACGGCGGCCACCACCTGAAGGACGAAGATGACCAGCAAGAGCCAGGCAAACTGGGGAGAGGTGAGCAGAGAATCAGGACCGTGGAGTTGCGACGGGACACCCAAGGGTCATCCAGCCCAACCCCTCTGAAACGCAGGAATCTCAGCGAAAGCATCCCGGACATCCATCCATCCATCCATCCATCTCTGCTTAAAAATCTCCACCACTTCCCAAGCGAGGAGACGCTGCCGGAACATCTCGCTAAGATATCCCTAGGGCAGCTGTTCCAGCAGCAATATCGGAAAAGTCAATTTTTGCCAGGTTGCAAATATAAGCCACATTTTTCATGGTCGGAATTTGTGTGTGGGGGGGGGGTGTTAACGGAGAAATCTGAGGGCTCCCTTGGACCAAAAAACAAGGACACCAGCCAGGAATCCCAGAGGAAAAGAGCAGCCAGTCGGCTTGGTCTTTATTGAAGACAGACAGGACTCCCACCTGCCACCAGGTGGAACAAGATGGAAGCCCCAGACAAAAGAGATCCCAAACTTTTATTAGCTGCTAATCCCCATGTTAAAGGGAAAGGGACCCCTGACCGACTCTGGGGTTGCGGCGCTCATCTCGCTTTACTGGCCGAGGGAGCCGGCGTCCAGCTTCCGGGTCATGTGGCCAGCAGGACTAAGCCGCTTCTGGCGAACCAGAGCAGCGCACGGAAACGCCGTTTACCTTCCCGCCAGAGCGGTACCTATTGATCTACTTGCACTTTGACGTGCCTTCGAACTGCTAGGTTGGTAGGTTGGCAGGAGCAGGGACCGAGCAACGGGAGCTCACCCCGTCGCGGGGATTTGAACCGCCGACCTTCTGATCGGTAAGTCCTAGGCTCTGTGGTTTAACCCACAGTGCCACCTGCGTCCCAATCCCCATATTACATCCCCCCAAACTACATCACTCATACATCGCGGTTACATCATGAAAGGGGAGGTCTGGTGGCCGTAATCTGAGCATCCTGGACCCTGCCCCATGGTTCCCCTTGCTTGATTGGGCAAGACACCTGGAGATGTTGCCATGAGGGGTTTGAAGATGAGACGTTTTGCGTGCCAATGAGGGGCCCTGCCGCTGAGATATGTCTCCTCCCAAACGGGCACCCTGTGTCCCTGGCATCGGGTGGCTGGGCCACCCCTAAAATGCTCACAGGCACCCTCAAATCAAAGGACTGAGCAGAAGGCTTTGCCCATTGTTGAGGGGGTAGTGGGGGGGGTGGCAGGGGTCCCTTTGCCTTACGTACCACCTTCAGAAGCAGAGTGATGTCACGCAAGGCCCCCAGGCAGCCGACAAAGGTGACGCTGAACACCAGGACGCCCACCGCCAGCAGGACGACGGAGGGGTCTGCCAGCAGGGAGTCCACAGCGCCTGGAGGGAGGCAGAGAGGAGAGGAGAGGGTGCCTACCCACCCAAGGGTGCCCACCCACGCGCCCGCCAGGTGAGAGACCAGCCCAGAGGAAATGCCCACAGCCTTTCTCCACCTGTGGGTCCCAGATGTTGTTGTACTACAACTCCCATCATCCCTAGCTCGCAGGACCAGTGGTCAGGGTGGATGAGAATTGTAGCCCCAAAACAGCCAGAGACCCAAGTTTGGGAAACAGCTGTAGGCTAAAAACCACTGTAAGCAATCGAGGAAAGGCACTCCACACATGCTCAGGAGCTATGCAATATTAACATCACATGCAGTTTTTCCCCTTTAAGGGCCAGCAGGGCTACCTAGGCTTTACCTCTAAACTGCCCTCCCCAATCTAATGTTCCTAGACCCCTGAACCCCACTTCAAGTGAAGCCCAGTGCCCCACTGAAGATGGAACACAAAATAAATATTGTGGAGTTTTAAAAATCTGGTGCACCTTAAAAATAACCAGGGGAGAATAATTGGAGATGAACAATCCGTTTCTTACGGGGCAGACAGATCCAAAATAATACAAGGATGGCCATAGATATTATAGAATGTTTAGAAATGAAACCGGGCAAAAGGTCAGTCCTAATGTTGGCAGATGCCGAGAAGGCATTCGACAATGTATCCTGGAGATTGACTTTTCTGTGGGTCACAAAACCCCGGCGCCAAGCAGGGTGCCCCTGCCCCACTCACCCCCTTCCTTGGAAAGCCTGGCGTAGATCCCGACGGCTACCATCAGGCCACCAGCCACCTGGAGAGGGCAGAAGAACAAGCCGTTCGTGGCATCCTGCTTTTGCAAAAAAGGGCGCCGCACACTCATGCCCCGTGGCTTGCTGTGGGCAGGGCAGGTCGGGGCTGTGCCAAGGGAGAGGAGCCGGCCCCGAACTCCCCGTGCCCCTGAGAGAGGCCTTGGCAAAGGCAGCCCAGCCTCTGAGAGCTGGAGAAAGCAGCCTCTGGGTGAACTCCTAAGCCCTCGGAGGCCCACTGCCAACACAGGAGCCGGCGCCAGCTGTGCCAACGCTCTCGACTCACCCAGAAGAGGTAGCAGGAGGCAAACAAGGTGTACTTGATGACTTGGTTGGTGCGCATGGTTCATGCCCGGCCCTCTGAGCCGGGGGCCACCCTCGGGCAAGGCCTGGTGGCATGCGGGGCAGCGGTGGGCAGAGATCACCAGCCCCCTGGCTAGGTTTGCATGCCAGGGGAGGAAGCGGGCGGGCGTGGAATGCATAGAGCAGGAAGGGAGAGGCGAGACAGTGCGCTGCCTGCATGTCAGAGGCAAGTGCCAGCTTGATCCCCTGCCTAGCTCAAAACAGCAAAGACCTGGTGAAGAGAGCACAGCAGAGGTTATATTTCCTGAGAATCCTCCGGAAAAACAATCTCTCAAAGGACCTGCTGATGGCATTTTACCATTGTACTGTGGAGAGTGTATTAACTTATGGTTTCTGTGTGGTTTGGGAGCTGCACGGTCAGGGGAAAAACAATGCTGTCCAGGGTTGTAAAGACTGTGGAGAGAATAATTGGGTGCACTCTTCCCACCTTGGATCAAATCTATGCTTCCAGGTGCCATAAGAAAGCTGCAGAGATAGCGCAGGACAGTGCGCACCCCGGAAATGATCTCTTTCAGCTTCTGCCTTCTGGAAGAAGGTACAGGGTTATAAAGACTAGGACTAGCCGCCTGAGAAACAGTTTCTACCCAAATGCTATTTTGGTTTCAAACGCAGTGTAAGGTAGTCTCTGGGACGTGGGTGGCGCTGTGGGTTAAACCACAGAGCCTAGGACTTGCCAATCAGAAGGTCGGCGGTTCGAATCCCCACAACGGGGTGAGCTCCCGTCGCTCAGTCCCTGCTCCTGCGAACCTAGCAGTTCGAAAGCACCTCAAAGTGCAAGTAGATAAATAGGTCCCGCTCCGGCGGGAAGGTAAACGGCGTTTCCGTGCGCTGCTCTGGTTCACCAGAGGCGGCTTAGTCCTGCTGGCCACATGACCCGGAAGCTGTACACCGGCTCCCTCGGCCAGTAAAGCGAGATGAGCGCCGCAACCCCAGAGTCGGCCACGACTGGACCTAATGGTCAGGGGTCCCTTTACCTTTTAAGGTAGTCTCTATGGGAGTATATTGTATTCAAAAATGGGGTATCAGAGGTTTTAGGGGGCTAACTTGGTTGGGATAGCTGGGATAGCAGGCTTGTTGGGTTTTGAATGTCTGATGTCGATTTTTCAATTTCTTTGTTCTGTATGGGACAATGACATTAAAGATTCTCGTATCGTATGGCATCTCCTTCAAGAGAGGAGGGCGGAGGCTCCATCTGGCCCTCTAAAGCCTCTCTTAACACCGACGTAAAACAGAACAGAGGCTGGGAAGTCGGGAAGCCTTTGGGACTCTGGATTTGTGCTGGGATTCAGCCGGTCGAAGGCGTTCCCGGGATCGGGGCCGCCGCCATCACAGGCTGGCAGCTTCATTGAGAGCTGAGGGCCGGGAGGGGACCAAAGTTGGGCAAGTGGCCCCCAACCAGAGGTCGCACCCCATAAGTGATGTTAATATTTATCGTTTGTAAGATTTAATAATATTTTCTTTATATCCCGCCCTCTCCAGCCGAAGCCAGGCTCAGATTTGTCTCGAAGTGCGGTGGAAATGTGGCCGACTCAACCCACCCACCTGCCTGTCAGAAGATGCCCCATCGAGGGGGGTCTTTTCCCCCTCCCCAAATTGCAAACAGGAGAGAAACACACAACACACCAGACAGAGAATCGTTTCTCAAAGGCCCTTTATTCCCAGGTCGGCTGTGTCCCCCCCACCTCAAGTCTTGCACGGTGCCCACCGGGCATTTATTTGGGCAAGTGAGGGGTGTCAGGGAAAAGGCACTTTCTTGCGGGGAGAGCGGGGGTGCCTCCTTTTCACGCCATGGTGGGGGCCGAGGAAGGGGTCGGGGTCTTCCCCCCCAGGTCTTCCGTTTGGGGCCGGGGCAGCCAGTTCTCTCGCCAGGTCTGAACTCACACCACCCAAGCCCAGGAAAACCCGGTTGGCGTCTTCCTGGGCCCAGCCGGCCCTCAGCCCTGCTCTCTTAAGCCCAGGGATGCAGGAAGGAGAGAGAAAGCACTCTGCATGCGCTCAGAGGCCCCTCGGGCCCAGGGTTTTCCGCAGAAAAACCAGTGGGTTAGAGCGCGGTGCCGGTAACGCCGAGGTTGCGTGTCCGAGCCCCGCATGGGACAGTGGCGTATTCCTATGTTGCAGCGGGTTGGACTAGATGACCGTCGGGGTCCCTTCACACTCTGCAACTCTATGAAATCCACTCCGCTGAACACCCAGTGGGTGAGGCTGCCAAAGAGCACAGGGCCTTCTCGGTGGTGGCGCCCGCCCTGCATCCCATCAAATGTCAAGGAAATAAACAACTGTCTGACTTTTAGAAGACGTCTCAATGGAAGTTTTATAATGTTTGGTGTTTTATTCTGTTTTTCATCTGTTGGGAGCCACCCAGAGTGGCTGGGGAAACCCAGCCAGATGGGCACGGTAAAAATATATTATTATTATTATTATTATTATTATTATTATTATTATTATTATTATTATTAATTTATACCCCACCCATCTGGCTGGGCTTCCCCAGCTGCTCTGGGAGGCTTCCAACAAAATATTGAAATACCGTAATGCATCAAACATTAAAAGCTTCCCCAAACTTTTATTTTATTTAGGGAATAATCATTCCCTAATAATAATAATAATAATAATAATTTCTACTGGCGGCAAGGAGGGGCAACCGAGAGAGGTGGAAAGGGCAGCTCTGAAATTCCCCGAGCAGCAAAAAATGTCAATAAATAGATAATTTAGGTGGGGTTTTGGGCTCAGGGCCCCAGAACCTTGCACGCTCCCCACTGCTGCAATTGCAGCTGGCTCTGGGGAGGGACACAAACACACAAATACACACAGGCACAGCAATGGCACACGAGTAGAACGGTGGAAGCGCTTTGCCCAGTGATTCTCGCAGGAACCAGTCAGGAGGGGGCTGGAGACGAGTCACTGCCCCACGTAATAATGGTGGGGGTCCGGCTGGATTCCAGAGGCCCCCCAAGTGCAGCCGAATCCCAGGCCGCTCCCTGTGCCAGGACAGCAGCTCTTCCATGGGGTCAAGAAGGGGGGAAGAGCAAGGGTGGTCTGGCCGTTGCAAAAAGGGGTCCTTGTTTTTTCTCGAGGTGGGGGTCCTGGAGCAGCTTCTGTGTCCTGAGGAGCCCCCTCCCCAAGATGGGCGAGAAAAGGTCACACCGGGAGTCAGCCGTGGGGTCGGGCAGGGTCCCCCGTCCCCCAGTCTCCTTCCTCCTGGGGGGGGGTCTCACTCAGCCTTCTTGGCCTTCCTCTTCCTCGTCCCTTCGTTCAGCTCCTCCCGCGACTTGGCCGGCAGCTGGGGGGGCTGCGGAGGGGGCATTTCGTGCCCCCCTCCGCCGTGGTGGTGGTGGTGGTCGTCGTGGTGGCCAGAGGGGACGGAGCCGAAAAGGATGGGGCAGACGACCCCTTCGAAGGGGGCAAAGGGGGAGCCGTGGGAGTGGGTCGCCGTCATGAAGACCTGGGGGGGGGGAGTCGCTGTTAGTGATTCCACACCATTCACATCCCCTCCAACGTTTCTCCCCTGAAAATAGGGATGTTCTATTCCATCCCCTCCAACGTTTCTCCCCTGGAAATAGGGATGTTCTATTCCATCCCCTCCAACGTTTCTCCCCTGGAAATAGGGACGTCCTATTCCATCCCCTCCAACGTTTCTCCCTGGAAATAGGGACGTCCTATTCCATCCCCTCCAACGTTTCTCCCCTGAAAATAGGGGCGTCCTATTCCATCCCCTCCAATGTTTCTCCCCTGAAAATAGGGATGTTCTATTCCATCCCCTCCAACGTTTCTCCCCTGGAAATAGGGACGTCCTATTCCATCCCCTCCAACGTTTCTCCCCTGGAAATAGGGACGTCCTATTCCATCCCCTCCAACGTTTCTCCCCTGAAAATAGGGGCGTCCTATTCCATCCCCTCCAATGTTTCTCCCCTGAAAAGAGGGACGTCCTATTCCATCCCCTCCAACGCTTCTCCCCTGAAAATAGGGACGTCCTATTCCATCCCCTCCAACGTTTCTCCCCTGAAAAGAGGGACGTCCTATTCCATCCCCTCCAACATTTCTCTCATGAAAATAGGGACGTCCTAAGGAAAAGCAGGATGTTCTGGGATCAATTCAGAAACCAGGGCAGCTTCTGTAGATCTGGGGCTGTCCCTGGAAAATGGTGGCACTTGGGGGGTCTGCCCTCCCTTCTCTGGGGGTCCAGGGGACAATGCAACCCCCCCTGAGCTCAGCTGTAGGTGGGGGTCTAATGGTCCCTTTATCCCAGTAAGGCCTGTTTTTTTACCAAGATGGCGAAACAAATAACTTCTGTATTACCTCCAACAGTCGCCAATTACAGCCTCGCTTTTGCTAAACCCGGGTTCCAACCCTTCTATCCAGCGGACAGATTTAATTCTTTTCCTCTTGGCCCCCCTGCCCTGCCCCACGGCCGGAGGCTCACCTTGCAGACGATCATGAAGAGGGTGAAGAAAAATATCAGGGTGGCTTTGGAGACAGGAAGCCAGTGAGCTTGTTGCAGCGTGAAAAGCAGAGCCCCGTATAAGCTGGCTTTGGAAGGGCTGCAAAGGCAACAGAAATTTAATTTATTTTATTTTTTATACAGTTTCGAAGCCTTTTCCCCCACCGCCGAGGGCCACATTGCCTTCCGGGGGCCGCACAGTGGTGGTGGTTGGCAGGGCCAGAGGCGAAGGAAGGTAGTGCTCCAAAGACTTTGGAACTCCCCGCCTCTTGACGGTCTCCCTCCCTGTGCTTTGTTTCGTACAAAGGTGCCTGCATCAAATCCCTCTGAGGTCTTTGCTCCGTCCCTACCATCCCAGGCAGGCAGCAGCCGCGCCCAACAGGCAGCAGAGCGCTTTACTCACAAGGTCATGTGCAAGAGCTCGTTTGTTTCCGGTTTCCAGATGCCTCGCAGGAGCTGCTCAAAGTTGGACATGAGAGCGACTCCAGATCCTGAGGAAGGAAGGAAGGAAGGAAGGAAGATAGATAATACTTTATTCGGCTATAAGCCCACAAGGTAAAACCAATCAATAAATAAAATAGCATTTTACATTCTAAAATATCAACTAGAATATTTCAACGCATAATCTCCTTCACGTTACATACAATCTCTAGATGTACCATATTGTGGCCTTGAATATAAAGATGGTGGATAGAGTTTACTAGATTTTTAATAGTCATGCAGCATTCCATGAAGCCTTTTATATGAAAGAACCGAATTCAGGAATCTGGCAACCTGTAATGTTCTATAAGAGTCAATGTCCTGGAGAAGGAAGGAAGGAAGGAAGGAAGGAAGGAAGGAAGGAAGGAAGGAAGGGAGGGAGGGAGGGAGAGAGGGAGGGTGGGAGGGAGAAAGGAAAGAAAGAAAGAAAGAAAGAAAGAAAGAAAGAAAGAAAGAAAGAAAGAAAGAAAGAAAAGAAAGAAAGAGAAAGGAGGGAGGGAGGGAGGGAAGAAAGAGAGAAAGGAGGAAGGGAGGAAAGAAAGAAGGAAGTAAAGAAGTGAGGGAGAGAGGGAGGGAGGAAAGAAGGAAAGAAGGGAGGGAGGGAGGAAAGAAGGAAGACAGAAAAGATGGGGTGAGAGAGAGAAGGAAGGAAGGAAGGAAGGAAGGAAGGAAAAGATAGAAAGATGAAAGAAAGAAAGAAAGAAAGAAAGAAAGAAAGAAAGAAAGAAAGAAAGGAGAAAAGAAAGAAGGGAGGGAGGAAAGAAGGGAAAGAGAGACACTTATTATTTCATTAAAAGTTTTTAAGCTAGTAAAAGGCGAAAGATTTATACGATCTGAAGAGAAACCAGAGTATGAATGTATTGCCTAGAATGTTGTTTTTATTCCAGACACTCCAGATCTTGGACAAGATGGACTGTTTCAAGAGGTGGCAAAAAGACATATCAAAATTTGTCTGGCAGGGCAAAAAGCCCAGAATAAACTTTAAGATCTTAACTGATGCAAAAGACAGAGGGGGGTTTGCCCTGCCGGACCTGAGACTTTACTATGAATCGGCAGCGTTCTGCTGGTTGAAACAATGGCTGCTTCTTGAGAATACAGACATTTTGGATCTGGAAGGGTATGACAATAGATTTGGTTGGCATGCATATATATGGTATGACAAGGTAAAAATGCATAAAGATTTTAAAAACCATATTGTTAGGAAAGCATTGTACAATGTCTGGATAAGATATAAGGATCTATTGGAAAGTAAAACTCCCAGGTGGTTATCACCAATGGAGGCTAAGGAGACTAAAAAACTTAATATGGAGTCCAAATGGCCAAAATATTGTGAAATTTTAGAACAAGATGGCGAAAGAGTTAAATTACAAAGTTATGACAAATTAAAGTCTAAAGTACGAGATTGGTTGCATTACCTTCAGATAAACGAGGTATTTAAACAGGACAGGAAAATAGGTTTTCAGATGGAGAGGTCGAAATTAGAAACAGAATTGTTAGAACCCAATACTAAGAACTTGTCAAGAATGTATAATTTGCTGCTGAAATGGAATACACAAGATGAAACAGTAAAATCAGCTATGATCAAATGGGCACAAGACATAGGTCATGACATTATGTTTGATGATTGGGAACAGTTATGGAACACAGGTGTTAAGTTTACGGCTTGTAATGCTTTGAGAGAAAACATAATGAAAATGATCTACAGATGGTACATGACCCCAGTCAAACTTGCAAAAATTTATCATTTGCCCAATAATAAATGTTGGAAATGTAATGAGACTGAAGGTACTTTCTACCACCTTTGGTGGACCTGCCCGAGGGTTAAGGCCTACTGGGAAATGATCTATAATGAAATTAAAAAGGTCCTTAAATGGACATTTCTTAAAAAACCAGAGGCTTTTCTCCTGGGCATGGTGGGCCAATTGGTGCCAAGGAAGGACAGAACTTTTTTTATGTATGCTACTACAGCGGCAAGAATTCTTCTGGCAAAGTATTGGAAGACGCAGCAGCTACCCACTCTGGAAGAATGGCAAGCGAAGGTGATCGACTACATGGGAATGGCAGAGATGACCGGCAGAATCCGTGACCAGGGGAGTGAGACAGTGGAAGAAGATTGGAAGAAATTTAAAATATATCTTTAAAAGTGTTGTAACATTGAGGAGTGCTGAGATGTTATGGGGTTAAGAAACAGAGAACTGCAGTTGTAAATCATAAGTCTAAGGAAATTATAATGAAGATGAGTCAATTAATTAAACGAAGAGTTGCTGTGAAAAGGTAAAAATAAGGATGCAGAAAAAGGGAGGTATGGGGAAGTCCGGGAAGTAAGGTGAAGGAAAATAAGTTTATGAAATTATACATGTTTATTTGTTTGTATGTTTTTGTTTTATTGTTTGTTTTTATTACATGTTTGGAAAATTAATAAAAATTATTTAAAAAAAAAAGTTTTTAAGCTAGTGGTTGGATAACTCTCTGCCAGGGATGCTTTCGCTGTGCTCCTCAGGAGTCCCTCCCAAATCTACAATTCTGCAATTTATTTATAAAGTCCATAGCCCACCTTTCAGCAGTTTCGGCGGAGGGAAAGGGGACTCTGCGGGCCGGACATCTGGCTAGGGGTGGTCCCACCTGCCTCTCCCCCCCCCTTCATGAGGGAGCTGTTTGCAGAGGGGAACGGGACTCCAGAGTTTCAGACCCTGCCCGGAGACACCGCAGGTGGAATCTATAGCATTCTGCATGCCAAGCAGGTGTTCCAGCCGTGAAACTACAACCTGCCCCCTAAGGTCGAAGTTTCCAGACCTCATGATCTGATTTAAAAAGGAATTTGCGCAGGGCGTGGCGTCCCACCTTTGACGAACCCGACGATGACCATGATGAGCCAGCCGTTGTGGTACTGGTGGTGAGCATGGTGGACGCCGGCAGCGATCTTGCGGACCCTGACCACCTCCTTCATCGCCACGAAGACCAGCTTGACCGGCAGGAAGCTGACGCACTTGTAGAAGATGTTCAGAGGGCAGTAGAAAGTCAAGTACCTTGGGAGAGGAAAGAGCGGGAGGTGAAGCCTGCGGGACTCCCTGCCACAAGGCGAGCGGGCGAGGTCCAAGGAGGTCAGGCCAAAAGCTCCTGGACCAGTTTCTACACCTGAGCCTCCTTCGACCGTTCCTCATCAGGCTTGATTTCCACACCCTTTGTCATCTAAGTCACCCTCCTCTGCCCACCTTCCAGCTTGTCCACCTCCTCAGCTTGTCCACCTCCTCCTTCAACTGTGCTGCCCAGAACCTCCCAGCAAGGCAGGACAGAATGGGGCACAAAATTGTTAGGGGTGCCAATTTCAACACCCGGTGGCGCCTCAGGGAAGCGGTGCACTTCCATCTGTCGAAAGCGGCTTGCGAACCAGGAAGTGACCTCTCTCCTGACAACGGAGTGGCTCTTTATTTTCTTATCTCTGTGGCCGTGATCTCCTGGGCACAGGCAACCCTACGCTATGCCACTGCCCCCCCCCCACCCTTTGTGCTCATGCAAGAGGGATTGTCTCCTTGGAGGATACAGAACCGTAGGACTGTGCAGCTGGAAGGGACCCCGGGGGGTCATCTAGCCCAACCCCCCGCAATGAGGAGGAGGAGGGGAGGCAGAGACGTGGCCTCACCAGACGGCCGTGGCCAGGAGGACGCTGGCGTTGTTGCTGAAGTAGTCGACGGGGGCCTCTCCCAGGAGCAGGTCGGCCAGGATGTAGCTGCCGAAACAGTAGAGCATGGCGCAGACCCAGGAAGCGAAAGGGCTCTGGCGGGACAGTTCCACGGCGCCTGCGGCGGGGGGGGGGGAGGGAGAAAGAAGCACGACCCTTTAAACACCTTCCCCTCTCTGGGCATCTTCCGCAGCGAGGAGCTATCGACCCCGAGGGGACGTTTATTTTCCTCCTCTTCTCCTAACGCTAGGAGCCTTGGGCATCGGATGAAGCTGAGCGTCAGAAGATCGGGGACAGAGTTCACCTGGGGAACTCCTTGCCACAGGAGGCGGCTACGCCCCCCCCCCCGACTTGGGTGGCTATACAACCAAGAATAAATAGTTTAAGGTTGAATTCTGGATGTAAAGGATTACAGTGGCGCCTCGGTTTTCGAATGTCTCCGTTGATAGACATTTCGGTTTTCGAATGCCATAAACCCGGAAGTGAATGCTTCGGTTTTCGAATGCGCCTCTCAAGTTGGACATGCCATGCAGCTTCCGCTGGCTGCAATCGATCTGTATCTTTGCAACCATTTTTTTTTTTTTTTTTTGTGGCTGTCTGCACCTGAGTTTTCGAACGTTTCAGAACACCGGGACGCATTACGTTCGAGAAACAAGGTACCGCCGTATCATAAAAGATGTGGGAGGAAAGGATTAATAATAGGACCCACAAAGGGGAGGATGAAAGCCTGGGAGAGTCCTTGGAATCTTGTTTTTATGATCTATATATGATATATCTCTGTATATATATATATGGTTTTTCAAATTCAAATTAAAACACACACACACACACACACACACACACACACAAAGAGCTTGAGAACTTGACTTCTTATCACAGGCATAGGCCAACTCCGGCCCTCCAGATGTTTGGGACTACAACTCCCATCATCCCTGACCACTGGTCCTGTTAGCTAGGGATGATGGGAATTGTAGTCCCAAACATCTGGAGGGCCGGAGTTGGCCTATGCCTGCCTTATCTCCTCTCTGTTCTGCGCAACACCTCTCGGCTCTGTCTCTAGTTTGATGCAAAAAATAGATTTTATTGTTACTCCTCTGGGCCATTTATTGTGGGTTCGAATCCATGAATCAGGGCGGCGCTTAGCGCCCGCGACCAGCTGCAAGGGAAGGAAGAGGCCCCCTCTCTCTGTGAACCGGATACCCCATCCGCTGTCTAAAAATAATGCAGGCAGGGGCCTGTGCCTCTCCTCTCCTCCACGGACGCCAGACCACAAAAGCCCGAACTAGCCTTTTCCTGATTGCAGAGACGATCCCAGGGTCCCCCATTTTACAGGGTGGGGAGGGAAATGCAGGCCTAGATGATGATGATGATGAGGTTGGAACCCGGATACTGTTATGAGATACTGTTATGTTCAAATCCCCGCGGCGGGGTGCGCTCCCGTAGTTCGGTCCCAGCGCCTGCCAACCTAGCAGTTCGAAAGCACCCCTGGGTGCAAGTAGATAAATAGGGACCGCTTACTAGCGGGAAGGTAAACGGCGTTTCCGTGTGCGGCTCTGGCTCGCCAGAGTAGCTTTGTCACGCTGGCCACGTGACCCGGAAGTGTCTCCAGACAGCGCTGGCCCCCCGGCCTATAGAGTGAGATGAGCGCACAACCCTAGAGTCTGTCAAGACTGGCCCGTACGGGCAGGGGTACCTTTACCTTTTACTGTTATGAGAATTATAAGGTCTAATATATAAAATAAATGGTCATAAATGTACAAGGCAAACACATACATAAGTATATCAACCACGTGTCTAAAATAGTACAGGAGAGCCATCCTGAAGCCATTTGGACTCTCCCAAATTGACCTCAAATATTTCTCTGCAAGGAGGAAGGAAATGGGGAAAGCTTTCCAATGGTCTTTGGACTGTAGGGGCTCACGCCTCCCTTTGCAAATACAGTCTGGCAAGTATCTGTTAAGCTAAGCACCCTCTCAATATGTGTAAGAGATTCAGGAACTAAGTATTTACCATCTGAAAGGAATGGCCAGGCTACCCAGAAAAGGCAATTGATAAGGCAAGATTGATCAGGTCTCCTGGCAGACAGGAGAGACGCAACACCCTCCCATTTCTGCTGGGGACCACCTCTTTCTGTGATGTATGTGTGATGTTTTGGGGGGTGGTCTTGAGCTACAGGGGAGGCAATTTCAAAAGTCTATATATAGGGGTTTGTGCACCATTGTTCTGGGTCCCTCCAGAATGTGGAGAGTGAGGACCCTGTTGCAACAGTTTAATAAATATCAGGCTTACTAGCTGCTTTGCTTCTCAATATTCTCTGGTTGGCCTCTGTTATTTTCTCCTACCGATAGAGAACCTACTTAAGGATTCTATATGGGCTCCTGGGTACCCCATAAGGGAAAGAGTATTTTTCTTCTAGCAGTATATGTTTGCTCGAACAGAGCAGGCCGCATTCTGCGCCAAACCCAGGACCCTCCTGCCTCTCCAAAACCCTCCTGTTCATTCCAGGCCGTAAGAAGCAAGCCGTCCACAGTTTCTGGGGGGAAACGCTCCACTGGTGAGGGTTGTGCCCTAGAGAATCCCATCCTTACCCCCCGCCAGCCTTGCTCGGTCCTCAGTGCCCAAGCTAAGCAGCTGCAGAGCCTGCTTCTAATTTGGGAAAGGAATGAGGACACAGGGAAGGGAAGCCGGCAAGAAACTGGATATCCCACAACGGCCAAGAGGCAAGGGCTTATTTTGCCGCCGAGGGAAAACGTCGGCGGCCCTCGCAAAGCCGTCCCTGACCAGAACCGATTCTGCGCTGTTATAAGGGGGGGGCTGCTCCTTTCCCCTGATTATTGCTTTCACTTTATGGATCAATGGTCTCGTTAGGGAGTAAAATCCATTTTAAATTGCTGTTTTAGGGGTTGTTTTTAAAAGTCTGGAACGGATTAATTTGTTTTGCATTCCTTTCTATGGGAAAGAAGCGCGCCTTGCTTTTGGAACGCTTTGGTTTTGGAACAGAATTTCCAGAAGGGGTTAAGTTTGAGAACCAAATAAGTTTGCATTCCCTTGTGAGCTGAGGATGCTGGGAGCATCTCTGAAACAAACAGGCCTCCTTCCTGATCCTGACCCCATGGCCTGAGTCTCACTCTGTTGCCCAGGCTGGTCCAAAGTGGGCTGTGTTTCCTCCGCAAGAGGAGCTGGGTGTTAGCTGGGGATCGCCTCTCCCGCTCCGTCCCTGGGGCGTGCCTACACACTGCTGCTGACCCACACCCAGGCCCCCTCTGGACACCTGGCCTGTCCTTTCAAGGAGAAAGAGCCCCAACTGCCTCCATCCATCACACCCAAGGTCTCAGCCCGGAGGGTCTCAGGTTTCCCCAAGCCAAGGTTGTCTCTGGCTCCTTGGCGCTGCTGACCGTGTTTCTGTGGGACATTCCCACCCCACACGTCTTTATTTAGAAAGTGCTGAGCTTGGGGACGTGAAACCCAGCACAGCATCTTCGCCGCCACCCTAAATACACACCAACAACCCCAATACAGCAGCCCCTCCCCATGACTGAAATACAGGCTAGACCCTTGGGGTCCCGTTGTATGGGTCTTCCCCCCCCCACGAAGTCTGCCCCCTCCCCAACTGGGAACACATACAGGAATCAGCACAAAGCCAGAGGGAGGTGGGCGATTCAGTCTCCCAAAAAATCCATGGCAGGGAAGGAAGTACTTACTCTAGATAAATTACCCTGGGGTAACAGCGCTTGGGTGGGGGGGGGAGGTGAGTTTCCCTCCCCTCTTTTTTCACAGCCCCTGGGATTTATGTTAGCGGGTGCAGACCCTCAGTTAGTTAAGTATTTTAATCGATTTTTTATTTATTTATTGGGGAGCTGTCCCCGCCCCCGCTACGCCCATGCCCCTTTCCTCTTCCTTAAGCCCCCTTAATCCAGTGCAGCTCTGGAGGTTGGGGGGAGGGAAGGCTTTGCAGGAGGGTAACTTTAAATCCGCTTTGGGGCGCGCGGGGATTTGGCACGGGGAAAGATGGTTACAGATCCTTAATAAATCCTTAATAAATCACGCGCCCACCCCCACCCCCACCCCAAAAAAGGATGAATGGGGATGTTCTGAGCCTATGGTCGGTGCGGGGGTGGGGGTGGCACGGGGAGGGTGACCTAACCCCGTGGGAGGAAGGGGGGTCGCGGGAGGGGGCGCGCAATGGAGGAAGTGGTCTTGCCTTTCTCGTATTTGAGGTAGAGGATGGAGACGACGAAGTAGCCCAGGTCGAAGACCGGGAAGACGGGCAGGCGGGCGAAGGCGGCGGCTAGGTCGCCCACGTCCAGGGCCCCCACCAGGTCCATGGCGGAGGCGGCAGCGGCGGCAGGTGCAAGCGGGGGAAGCGGGCGAGGCCGGGAGCGCACGGGAGCGCACGGGAGCGCAGGCGGAGAGGCCGGGAGCGCACAAGAGCGCACGGAGGAGGAGGGGGGGACGCAGCGCCGGGGGGAGGGGTGGGGAGGGGGAGGGGAGGGTGACGCCCCCGCCCCTCCCCCGCAGCGCCGCCCCCTCACGGCGGACCTCCCTCCCTCGGTGGGGCGGGGGGGGGACACATAGGAAGCTACCACCTTGGACAGTGCCAAACCGCTTGACGACCATCCAGGAGAGGCGCGCTTACCCCGGGCTGACAGCAGCGCCTTCTCCGGGCTGCCAGCCAGCAGGTGAATCGGAGGATGCTGCGAATTGTGGGGGGGGGGGAGAACTTGGGGACTTCCGCCCTGGGAGCCCCCCCACCCCACCCTTGACAGCCAAGAAACCAGAGCCACCACTCTCGGAAAGAAAGGAAGAAAAAGGAAAGGCCGAAAAAGAGGGGGTCGCTAAGTTCTCCAAAGTGCGAAGCCACAAATGCGCCGCCCCTCACTCCCACGGGAATAAGTGGCTTTGATTTTGATTTTAAATTTATGCTTTTCAAGTTTGCGCATTTCACCAATTCGCTCGTTTTGCACATTGCGATAATTTCGCATTCATTTTGACGTTTCAAAACCGGACTTCCTTCTTGCCCCGCTTTCTGCGGCTCCTGAAATTTAATTTTCATATCTTCTGCATGTCCTGATTAGCCTAATTTGCTCGTTTGTTCTTTAAATATATATTATTAAGGGATACGTGGCTTTGGTGGAGGCTGGAGGCGACCAGAGGCGGCGCTCTCGCTCGTCCGATGATAATAATAATAATAATAATAATAATAATAATAATAATAATAATAATAATAATAATAATAATAATATATTATTTGTATGGGTAGGAGCCCCCAGGAGAGGGGAAGAAGGGGGCGCCTGGGAAGTTGGGGCGGCTAAAACGCAAATCTTAACACTAGACGAACATAATAATAATAATAATAATAATAAACATCTTAAGGCAGCCCTGTTCAGGGAAGGTTTTAATATTTAATGCTGTACTGTTTTTAACACTTGTTTGGGAGCCGCCCAGAGTGGCTGGGGAAACTCAGCCAGATGGGCGGGGTATAAATAATATATTATTATTATTATTATTATTATTATTATTATTAGCTGATAGGGGGAAGGGACGGGCGATGGCTTTGCTGCCACAAGAAAAGAAAGAACTCTTCGGATCGGGTCCTCCTTGTTTCCCAAAAAGGGGCATCTGGTTTGCCACCGTGAGAAGGGGACGCTGCTGGACTCTTTGGGACCCTTCCTTGTGAAACCTCCAGGCGCAGCGGCAGTCTACCTGGTTTCTTAGCGGTATTTGGCTACCCAGGGGATGCTGGACAGGATGAGTCCATTTAGGCCTGATCCTGTAGGTTCCTCTGATGCTTGCACTTGAAGAAGGGGAGGCGGTGCTGGGGCTCCGGGAACCGCTGTGTCAGAGCACCCCGCATCTGGGTTTCCCCGCTTTGGCCTGACTCAAGTCCACGGCTCTTCCGTTCGCATTCTGCAGGGGGAGTGGGAGTCCAGATCTTCGCTTTGCTTAGTTAATCCGGATTAACTTTACCCCACCTCGGATGGCTATTCCACAACTCCGCTTTCGACCCCTGTCGCCGGCCGCGTGAGCCAGGATCCGAATGAAAGCGAGCTGGGGGCTTTTGAACGCGGGCAGAGGCGCCTCCTCGCATACCGGATGAACTCCGGCTAGAATTGCAGAGTTGGAAGGGACCCCAAGAGTCATCTAGTCTGACCCCGCCTCGCAATGCAGGCAGGTGCTTAGAAAGTTGATGCGGATCTTAATCCGTTTAAAGTACTGTGATTTTTTAAAAAAACGGATTTTACTGTTCTGCTTTTTTTGTAAACCGTTTGCAGGGTTTTTTAACTACTGTATCCAGCGGCGCGTGAATTTTGTGAAATAAGTAAATTGTGAAAAATGGGTGCTGCTGGACAGGATGGGGAGGAGCCCGTTAGTCATCTCACGGCTACCCGACCCTGGTTTGAGCTTTTCTCGTTCGTAGAATCCTCTAACCACCAGCCATTAAAAACCCCGGGCGTGCATTGGCCACCACCTGGTAGCAGGGAGTTCCACAGGTTAACAGGAATGAACACAGACACCCAGCGCGATGGGGCTCTTTGCTCTGAGCCAGCTGCCCTTCTCCCCAGATGTGACCTTCCCGTCCCCCAGTTCCCCCTGAAACAAACTCCCTTCCTGATTCCCACGTTTGCTGTTTATCATCAGCAAAATCTGAGTTTCAGAAAGGGCATGTGGCTTCACAAGCTGCTACTGAGCGTGCGCGGGTTGCGAGGAGGCGCATGCTCAGTGGCAGGGAAGGCTCCGGCGGGTGGGCGGGGCCAAGGAGGGGGCGTTGTCTGACGCGTCATCGGGGCTCCTTCCCGGAATGGGCGAGCGCCACCTGGCGGCCGAGGCGGGGAAATTTAAAAACAAGGGAGGGGGGATGCCGCTCGCTGATTGGCTGCGGCGCTGATTGACGTCACTGAGGCTGGGGGAGCCCTTCTACTTCCGGGTGGAGACTGGCAGCAGCAGGATGCTGGGCGATTTGCTGCTCTTCGGGTAAGTGGGGGAGGGGAAGGAAGCAGGGTTGCTAAGCAACGCCTGGCCCAAAAGGAGGGGGCAGGGCAGGAGAGGAGGAGCCCCCCTTGAAATTTGGGGGTTAATAGGGCGCCCCTACAGCAGGAGCTGCACCTGACGGATTCCTGCCTGTCGCGCAGATAGGAGGCTGGTGGTGGCGGCAGGGGAGGCCAGGAGGAGAGGCGATCTTCTTTGGCTTCATTCCCTCCCGACATCTGGCCCTCCAGATGTTGCTGCGCCCTCCCAGAAGCCAGCAGGACCAGTGGTTAGGGCTGGTGTGGCAATGGGAGGTGCTAATAATAATAATAATTTATTTATACCCAGCCCATCTGGCTAGGTTTCCCCAGCCACTCTGGGCGGCTTCCAACGGAATATTAAAATACCGTAATGCATCAAACATTAAAAGCTTCCCTAAACAGGGCTGCCTTCAGATGTCTTCTAAAAGTATGGTAGTTGTTGTTCTCTCTGACATCTGGTGGGAGGGCGTTCCACAGGGCGGGCGCCACCACCGAGAAGGCCCTCTGCCTGGTTCCCTGTAACTTGGCTTCTCACAGCGAGGGAACCGCCAGAAGGCCCTCGGGAGATGGACCCCGGTGTCCGGGTGGAGATGCTCCTTCAGGTATACAGGTCCAAAGCCGTTGAGAAAAACCCCATCCATTGAAAGCTGCTCAGTTTCTCTTTTTCCTTCTCTCTTCCCCCCCATGCAGGACACTGTTGGTCAACGCAGGAGCGGTGTTAAACTTCAGGCTGTAAGTGCTCAGAGGTGGGGGGAGCAGCTGGGCTGGGGAGGGAGGTGGGGTTCAGCTTGGGAGGAGGACTACAGTTCTGGCTTGGAAGAAGGGGTTCAGGATTTGGGTGCTCAGGAGAAACCACCTTCCGGCCACTTGTTCTCGCAGAAAGCACCGCGTTCAAGTCTCCAGCGGTTTGCCGCCGGGGGCGCGCTCCATTGTCTTCCGAGATGGACGGATGTTGGGACGTAGGTGGGGACGTAGGTGTTCCATTAAGCCAGAACTCATCGGTGGGGCTCTCGTCTTCTGTTCATTTGTCCAGATCCCTTTCAAAACGCTTTCAAAACACTTCCGTTTCCGTCAAAGGCCTGGAAACGATGCCTTATGAGGAACGGCTAAGGGAGCTGGGCATGTTTAGCCTGGAGAAGAGGAGGTTAAGGGGTGGTATGATAGCCATGTTCAAATATATAAAAGGATGTCATATAGAGGAGGGAGAAAGGTTGTTTTCTGCTGCTCCAGAGAAGCGGAGACGGAGCAATGGATCCAAACTACAAGAAAGAAGATTCCACCTAAACATTCGGAAGAACTTCCTGACAGTAAGAGCTGTTCGTCAGTGGAATTTGCTGCCAAGGAGTGTGGTGGAGTCTCCTTCTTTGGAGGTCTTTAAGCAGAGGCTTGACAACCATATGTCAGGAGTGCTCTGATGGTGTTTCCTGCTTGGCAGGGGGTTGGACTCGATGGCCCTTGTGGTCTCTTCCAACTCGATGATTCTATGCCAGTTGTGAGATGCTTTGGCTTGCTGTAAATCTTCCTCTCTCTTGCCTCTTAGGAAGAAGAGAGAGAGCCAGGGCTTTGGTGAAGAAGTGAGGGAACCCGCAACAGGTAAGACCCTCCAGGCAGGCGTGGGGTTGGAGCTGAGGCCTCCATACTGCGCCCACCTTGCCGTGCATTGTGACCCTCTAAAACCCCCACTGAGGTTGTGTGATTTCATAGCTTTGCGATACCCCCATGCTAACCATGGAGAAGGGCTTTGGGTGACTGGCGGAACGTGCAATTGGGCGCCGAAGCCTCCAGGTTCTGTCATCTCCAGGAAGAACTGGCAGAGGCTCTCTGGCCTGAAGCCCCAGACAGCTGCTGCCGGTCAGTGTAGGCTGTTCTGAGATCATGGCTAATGATCCGACAGCTTCTTCTGCAAGAGAGTCCTTGCATGGAAATAGCTCCGTTGAGCCAACAGGAAACCCGACGCGAAACCACACCGCTGCCTGGTATTCCAGACCGCTTGGTTCCACATTGGTTCTGCAATTGCTTTATCTAATTCCTCAAGGACGGCTGCGAGTTCCAGACACTTAAGGATCCCGATTAATTCTTAAGCTAGAGCCTTTACCATTAGCAGTGCCTGGCCTCTCCCTTGAGCCTGGTTTCATGGAGATGGTTCTTAAGAACAATCTTGCAAGAATGAATCCGTATTCAAACAACAACAAATCTTCCCAGCTGCCAGGGGCTTCCCACTTTTCAAACGCATTTCCTCCTGCAATAACTGTGCCTCATGGCGTTTCAAAAAAGTGCCTAGAATTGAACTCAGAAAGTCAGAAAAATGTTCTAGTACTACTAATAAATTGCATCTTGTTTAATAAACTGGAGAGTCACCCTACATAATTTTCTCTTGTAACTTCCCCTTACAGGATTCATATGATTGAATTACTTCTAAG